CCACATTATCATGGACTTGATTCTGAACTAAAAGAAACATATTTAACACAAAAGCTGCAAATAAAGCCATCGATATCATAAATCGTTCACCGTCAAAATAAAATACGTTCCCACTTAGAATTTAGTGCTGTCCAGGATTTTTCCTGATTAAGTGCGTTTTCACTTGCCGCCGTCTTTCATCGTCGCCCTCGTTTCTTTCTTTCGGGACCCTTTTCAAATCGAGATTAGGACAGAACGAGGAACAGATTAAATCGAAATAAAGGGGTGCATAGAAATTAGTTTTCTAATCATGAAATGCGTCCGATCTTGATCGACAGCCCTATCCAATACAAATATACGTGCGAGGCGAAATAAGTCTCGAGTGTTGGGCCATTTTTCCGAGCTTTTTAAAGCTATCCATACACGATCAATAATTAATTTTTATATTGGAGAGAAAAGTGAAACAAGTTTAATTTTATTTAATTAAATTATCAATTAACAAAGTATCGAAAGCCTCCTCAAAGTCCAGGTATATACGACATCAATAGGTCCTCCCTCGTCATTCATCTTTGTCCATTTATCGAAGCATGTTAGAAGGTTGATTTCAGTCGACTTTTTTGGCAAAAATCCATGCTGTGAAGACGAAAGGATGTTGTTTTCCATTGGAAAGTTTGTCAGTTGTATGGTTGCAACTTTTTCCATGGATTTGCAAGTGTTACAAGTATGTAGTGTAAAATGCTCAAGTTCTTCGAGCACGAACGAGAATGAACGAGAATAATAAGCATTAAATAGTATAGTCCATTCAGCCGGTCAGATATATATTGCGGTTAAGTACCTCATAGTCATCAGCCCAGAAGTTTCTTTTTTTGACAGAATGAGTCTCCTTGAGGTGCGCATTCAGTTGTGTGTGTGCTCGTATGACTTATATGGTCACTTAGTCCTATAGGGGATTCACTGCGGATGTTACAAGGCTACAAGGGGCAAACCTAGGAATTCTTTGCTAAAAATGTGGGGAATTTAGAGGAATTTGGGGGGAATTTGGTGGAACTTATCGAAATTTATGAGAATTTGGGGAATTTGGAGAAATTTATGGGGAATTTGGAAGAATATCTAAGGAATTCATGAGGAATTTAAAGGAAATTGTAGGGTCATGACGTCACTGAGGTTCCAAATTTAAGTAATTCAATAGAATAATGAATACAGTTTTTGTAGGCTGATTTCTGATATTTTTCATGTTGTTATTTTCCACTGGAAAAATTTGAAATTTTGGGAAAATGAGCTTCTCATCTTCTTCTTTACATGCAAAAAGATTCAAAATTTTCCCTTCACTAGTTTTCCAGGAAAACTTTGAAATATGTGACACTATATTTTCAATTAATTCAGTTATGGTAGGTTGATTTCCAAGATTCCTCATGTTGTAATTTTCTACTGGAAAAACTTGAAATTCTGAGAAAATAAGCTTCTACCTTCCTCTTTATATGCAAAAAGTTTCAAATTTCTCTTTTCACTAGTTTTCCAGGGAAACTTTGAAATGTGTGAAACTGTATTTTCAATTAATTCAGTTTTTGTAAGTTGCTTTCCAAGATTTTTCTTTCATGTTGTTATATTTCACTAGAAAAATTTAAAATTTTGGGACAATGAGATTCTTATCTTCCTCTCTACATGCAAAAAGTTTCAAAATTTTTCCTTCACTAGTTTTCCAGGAAAACTTTGAAATGTGTGAGGCTGTATTTTCAACTTAATCAGTTTTTGTAGGTTGATTTCCAAGATTTTTCATGTTGCTCTTTTCTACTGGAAAAATTTGAAATTTTGGGAAAATGAGCTTCTCACCTTCCTCTTTACATGCAAAAAGTTTCAAAATTTTTCCTTCACTAGTTTTCCAGGAAAACTTTGAAATGTGTGAGGCTGTATTTTCAACTTAATCAGTTTTTGTAGGTTGATTTCCAAGATTTTTCATGTTGCTCTTTTCTACTGGAAAAAATTGAAATTTTGGGAAAATGAGCTTCTCACCTTCCTCTTTACATGCAAAAAGTTTCAAAGCTTTTCCTTCAATAATTTTCCAGGAAAACTTTGAAATATGTGAAACTGTATTTTCAATTAATTCAGTTATTGTAGGTTGATTTCTATGATTCCTGATGTAATTTTCAACTGGAAAAATTTGAAATTCTGGGATAATGAGCTTCTCACCTTCCTCTTTACATGCAAAAAGTTTCAAAATTTTCCCTTCACTAGTTTTCCAGGAAAACTTTGAAATATGTGAGACTGTATTTTCAAATAATCCAGTTATTGTAGGTTGATTTCCAAGATTCCTCATGTTGTAATCTTCTACTGGAAAAATTTGAAATTTTGAGAAAATAAGCTTCTCACCTTCCTCTTTACATGCAAAAAGTTTCAAAATTTCCCTTCACTAGTTTTCCAGGAAAACTTTGAAATGTGTGAGACTGTATTTTCAATTAATTATTCAGTTTTTGTAGGTTGATATCCAATATTTTTCATGTTGCTGTTTTCCACTGGAAACTTTGAAATTTTGGGAAAATGAGCTTCTCACCTTCCTCTTTACATGCAAAAAGTCTCAAAATTTTTCCTTCACTAGTTTTCCAGGAAAACTTAGAAATGTGTGAGACTGTATTTTCAATTAATCCAGTTTTTGTAGGTTGATTTCCAAGATTTTTCATGTTGCTGTTTTCCACTGGAAAAATTTGAAATTTTCGGAAAATGAGCTTCTCACCTTCCTCTTTACATGCAAAAAGTTTCAAAATTTTTCCTTGACTAGTCTTCCAGGAAAATTTTCAAATGTGTGAGACTGTGTTCTCAATTATTTCAGTTTTTGTAGGTTGATTTCCAAGGTTCTTCATGTTGCTATTTTCCACTGGAATAAATTGAAATTTCGGGAAAATGAACCTCTAACCTTCTTCTTTACACATAAAAAGAGTTTCAAATTTTTCCTTTCACTAGTTTTCCAGGAAAACTTTGAAACGTGTGAGACTGTATTTTCTACTAATTCAGTTTTTGTAGGTTGATTTCCAAGATTTTTCATGTTGCTGTTTTCCACTGGAAAAATTTGAAATTTTGGGAAAATGAGCTTCTCACCTTCCTCTTTACATGCAAAAAGTTTCATAATTTTCCCTTGACTAGTTTTCCAGGAAAACTTTGAAATGTGTGAGACTGTGTTTTCAATTATTTCAGTTTTTGTAAGTTGATTTCCAAGATTCTTCATGTTGCTATTTTCTACTGGAAAAAATTGACACTTCGGGAAAATAAGCCTCTAACCTTCCTGTTTACATACAAAAAGTTTCAAATTTTCTCTTTCACTAGTTTTCCAGGAAAACTTTGAAATGTGTGAGACTGTATTTAGTATTTACAACTAATTCAGTTTTTGTAGGTTGATTTCAAAGATTTTTCATGTTGCTATTTTCCACTGGAAAAATTTGAAATTTTGGGAAAATGAGCCCTCACCTTCCTCTTTACATGCAAAAAGTTTCAAAATTTTCCCTTGATTAGTCTTCCAGGAAAACTTTGAAATGTGTGAGACTGTGTTTTCAATTACCTATTCCAGTTTTTGTAGGTAATTTCCAAGATTCTTAATGTTGCTATTTTCCACTGGAAAAAATTGAAATTTCGGGAAAATGAGCCTCTAACCTTCCTCTTCACATACAAAAAAATTTAAATTTTTCCTTTTACTAGTTTTCCAGGAAAACTTTGAAATGTGTGAGACTGTATTTTCAATTAATTCAGTTATTGTAGGTTGATTTCCAAGGAAAAATTTTAATTGAATTGAATAATTGGATAATTGAAAAACATAATAAAAGTGAACATTTATCGGTTAGTTCTGACATTGTTTCAGAAGATCGGATAAACTTTAAAAGCGCATTGATTATGATTTCAGAAAATCTGCTTAAAAGTGACCCTGCTGAGTGCAAAGAAACTTCAAGCTACTTGAAGTTGATACAAGTTTATCTGTATCCAAATCCGAGTATGTATTCTAGCATTATATTATGGAAAAAAAGGTGAACGTTGAAAAAAGAGTTTACTTATTTCCAAATTATTGAAAAAGGAATTCATTTGGCCTACTCAGCCTGACTATGCCGGGGTTCAAAATAAATTTCTTATAACGAGCAATTGTGGGGATTTTCAGGGAATTTGTAAGAGACAAGAGACATTTGTGGGAAATTTGAGAGTAGTTTAGAGGAATTTGCGGGAATTTGGAGGAATTAGGAATTTGCAGGGAATCTAAAGGAATTTGTGGGGTATTTGGAGAAATTTGTGGTGTGGTATTTGGAGGAATTTGTGATGGAGTATCTGGAGGAATATGTGGGGAATTTGGAGGGATTTGCAGGAATTTTGAGGATTTATGCGTGAAAAATTCCCCTTTTAGGAACTGTTTGCACAAATTCTGGGATGATGGTTTACCCCTTGGGATGTTATATAGAATTTTTTTGTCATTTACCGTCGCTAAGTCGAGGAGTGAGTAGTGATCGCCTCTATATCTGTTTGGAAAGCATTCATCATTTGATAGATATCAAGAAAATCGCTGGAAACTTGATTGAAATGCGTTAGCGGTAAACTTTTCCAATCAATCTCAGGGTAGTTGAAATCTCCAAAAATAAAGGTGGGCACTGGTAGCGCCATTGAAGTGTCCATGATTCTTAGAAGAAATAATGTATGTTTTCTCAAAATGTTGTAGGCTCACAAAACGATAATTCAATTGTGCCTCATCACTTTTTAGATACCACCTCAATTTCCAAATTATTAAATCCTGCTTGTAATAAAGACGTTACCTATAAGAAATGTGACCAGTAAAACTGTCAAATCTAATCCCGGTGCGCCGCTCGTTTTAAAAGAATACCATAATATTCCATCATACATGCCACATAATTTCCACCTGGTAATTGTTTAAAGCCTCGGCTCCACTATAATAATCCTAAATAAGAAAGTTGAATGGGCATCATTAGCAGGCAGTCCTCTTTGAGGTGTGAAATTAAAAGATAATTTGTGTGCCAAGCTTAATCAGGGAATGTGGGTACAAATTAAATATATTTCCAACAACTAGGTAACTTATATTAAAATATGTAATTACAATTGCATTGTTTCCAATTTTCCAATAGTTTCTTTATCTGCCTTCTCAGACTCTTTATTTGTAGGTGTAGTACTAATAGGTAAATTAGTAGCTTTGGGTTTTGATATTTCCTTTATGTCTGAAGATTTTGTTCTTAATTTTTCCTGTAGGCCGTCTAAAGCTTTGTCAATTTCCACCACTTTTTCTTTTGTCTTTAGTTTTATCTGCAAAAAAAAAATGTATAAACAAAATAATGCCCTAAGTTAGTACAACGCATACATTTTTCAAAACACTCTTCACTTCTTTAGCTTTGGATTTCATTTTTAAACTCTTGGCTCCTGCTACTTTGAACACACTGTTGTTTTTCTTCTTGTTCTTGCCCATTTTTATCTGCAAGAAATTTATAAAATAGAAAATAAATACTGCAAGATTTCCTTACCAATACAAGACTTTTTTAATTGTACATCTTCATTTAGAGTCTCACTTTTTCTTTTTTTATCATCTGGCACTCCAACCAATATATCTCTGTCTAATTTTAATGTGACCCTCATCATTTCTTTCATAGAACTTACTGTCCTTACTCTAAATATGTCAGTTATTTTGCTGTCAATATCAACATTTTTTATTTTAAAATTTTCTTTAATTAAATTTCTAGCAATTTCTTCTGGATTTTCTCCTTTGGCAAAACAGTAAACATACAATGTTATAGGATTTATATCGGCCTCAAATAATCCAATAAATGCATCTAAAAACTCAACAGCCATAGCTGGAAGGTTCATTGTAACCACTATTTGATGCTTATTATCCACATACTTTCTCAAATTTTCTTTAATTATTTTTAAAATAAATTCCCTACCATCCAAGTTGAAACCCTTAAAACAATCATCAGATACTTTATTCAATTTTTTGTTGTGTATCAGCCATTTATACGATTCAGGATTCAAATCATTAGCATAAACAATACAATTTTTTTTGGCGGCCGGTATAGAAAAAGGACCGACACCAGCGAAAACATCAAAAAGTATGTCTCCGGGATTTAAAGCTTTCACAATTCTTTCATGCTCGGTGCATAATCTGGAATTCCAATAAACTGTAGAAAAATCAAACTCAAATTTGCAATTGTTTTCTTTCAGAGTCGTAAGCATGTTGTCAGTGCCTTTCAGGACTTCCATTTGGAAGTAACGGTAAGTGTTGTCAATCATGTTTAGTTTATTGACTACTGATTTGCAGCCTTTCACTTTATCCAGCAGGACTTCACCTAAAAATATTGAGATGTTGGGTTATTCAAAAGAAAAAAACTGCACCCTGTTCCCTGAGAGTGTACACAGATTTTAATTTTTTATGGATTTAATGGGATTCTGCAAGGTTTTCTGGAAGATTTTACACAATTTTAAAAGCTTTTCAGGGATACAAAGAGATTTTTCGAGATTTTATGCATAAAAAGAGTTGGAACAAGTCTTCCAGTTTCTACCTCAGCAAACCTGGATTCTATTTTTTGTCTCAGAAAATAATGAAAATATTTCTTTGGTCCTAATACTCTCCAAATGAATTTTCAACACTCTGAAAGTTAATATATAAAGTATGAGTGTAGTCGAGAGTATAATAGAGGTCAAAATCTTTCAAAAATCATTGAAAAGCTTGTAAAGAAAAGAATGGTAGCCTTCATGTCTAGTCACAATATCCTGACTAGTTGTCAGTTTGGATTTCAAGCCTCAAAGGGTACTAGTGATGCGGTGTTCAGGCTTTTGGAGAGTGTACGTCGGTCTGAATGGAGGAAGTATGGCTGCAGCGGTTTTCTATGATTTTTCTAAAGCATTTGATTGCGTAAATCACAGAATACTGCTGGAGAAAATGCATCAGTATGGTTTCAGGGGAGTGGCGTATGACTGGTTTTCGTCTTATTTGTCAGGTAGGAAACAAGTGGTTTGTTCTGAGGATGGTAGCTCAGATGAACTGTCAATAAGACACGGTGTTCCCCAGGGTTCGGTTCTTGGCCCAGTTCTTTTTCTATTATACTTGAATGACTTGGCTAGACTAGATATTCGAGGCCGTTTTACCATTTTTGCAGATGATACGACCATCTTGTGGCTTGATGAAGATGCTAGTTTATCGAAAGATATTATAATTGAAGACCTACAACGTGTGAAGGAGTGGTGCGACGCAAATTTACTTTGTTTCAATTTAAATAAAACTAGTGCTATTTCTTTTAGGTTTGTGTTGGATGATCTGAATGTGAACAATAATTTCGCGGCAAATAAGGCTAGCTGCAGGTTTCTGGTCTTGCACATAGACTCGGATTTAAAATTTAAAGAGCATATATTGTGTCTGAACAAGAAATTGGCATCTGGATGCTTTGCTGTTCGTATTGTCACGGGGCAGCTAGGGTCACTCATGGCTAAGTCGGTATATTATTCACTCGATTATTCACTTGTTGAGTCTCATTTGAGATATGGGATTGCATTTTGGGGTTTTTGTAACAAACAACTTTTTAATTCTGTGTTTGTCCTACAGAAGAGGGCGCTTAGGTATTTATGCAAATTGAAGGCTAGGGACCATTGTAGGCCATTGTTTGTTCAGGAAGAAATCCTTACATTGCCATGTATTTTTATTTTGGAGACTGTTTCCTTGGTGCACAAAAAATATAGAGATTTTATAAATCCCAACATCCACAACACACGTTATGGACATAATTTACCATTACCAATACCCAGGAGTGGTTTTACCAAAAACTCTTTAATGTATGAAAGTTTAAAGATATACAATCATTTGCCAGATGAGTGGAAGGGTCTCCATGATCTTAAGAGTTTTGTAAAATGTGTAAAGTCCGTTCTAAAATTGAAGGCATACTATAGTTTAGAAGATAAGGATGTTTTTTAGTCGTTTAATCTTATATTAATTTTTACTTTGATTGTTTTGTTTAACTATTATATCGAGATTTTAAAAAAGTATTCCTGTTTTTGTGTAAATTTTTGTATTTTAACTTAATTTTATCTAATCGAAATAGTATTTATAGTACATTTGAACAATTGACTAGCCCTAAGTTATGTGTCTATAATTTATTTTGTATTGCGTATTGCTAAGATTTAGAATTTAGGGTTAAATTTATATTTTTTAGGCTTTGTCTATGAGTTTTTTCTTTAGACAATAAAGCCTTATTTGATTTGATTTGAAGCATGCCTTGGATTTGGACAGAAAATCTTAGCTTTTAGCCTAGAGATGAAAAATCAGTCTCAGACAAACCCATATTTGTAGTAGGCGCTGAGGCTCTAAGGTTCATCATCCATACATGGCAACTCGAAGAATACCTACTAGACTACAAGCTTCAATTTAGTTTAATTACAAGTACTGTGCATAGAGGTGGATTATTACAATAAAGAGATCTGGAATGGGATAAATATGACTTACCTATCAGACTTTTATGATCGAACAAATGTGCCCTGGATTCTGAGTTAAAAATTGCACATGCACACTGAGAGGTGCTCAATTTCTTCAAAATGTCTAGGTAAATACACAGAACACAGATTTCAAATCTTTATGGCTTTAGTGGGATCTTGCCAGGTTTTTTGCGAGGTTTTTTGGAAGACCTTACAGAATTTTATAGGCAGAAAATGGTTTTTCAAACTTTTCTAATTCAAATTTCAGGTCTACAAACGCTGAGAAAAGAATTTTTCCTTCTCTTTAGTTCAATTTCAGGCTCTGAAATCTGCATGAATCATAAATGAGCACTTTAAGCCAATGCAGCCAAATTTTTGAGTCTAAAATTGTCAAAATCTCAATGTTTCACATTTGTCCAATTCAATTTCAGTTTTTGTGAAGTCAGAAAATGGATTTTTGAACTTCTCTAGTTCAAATTTAAGATCTAGAAAAGTCAAAAATGGAATTTTTACACTACTCTAGAATAATTTCAACTGTAAAATTTTCAAAACTCAAAAATGAGCCACTGTAGCTCAATTTTAATTCTAAAATTGTCAAAATTTCAATGTTTTTCATTGGTTGAGTTCAATATCAGCTTTATTAGAGTCAGACATCTCAGACAGCTCTAGGAAAGCCAGGAGGGTTTCTCACTAAGTATCTAGTACAAGAAAACTGAAACAAGTCTTTCAGCTTCAATTTTTCTCAGAAAATAATGAGAATATCTTATTCAAGATACTTATTGTCAGTCCTTATATTCTTCAAATCAATTTCCAGTATCTACTCTGAAATAATCGAGGAAATAATGATCAATAGGTACCTTCATTTCTTTAAAAAGTGCTACTACAATATGTGTGGAGTGGGGATCTTAGAGCCTGAAAGAGACACAAACTTTGCTGGATAAATAAGGGAAAGGTTGCTCGAGGACAGAATACATATTAAAATAAATCAATAATAACCAAAGATCTAAGATTTAGTGCATTTTAAGAGATTTTATAGCATATTTGATGGATTCTTTGAAGATTTTTTGGGGTTTTGAGTGATTTTGAAAGAGAGATTTTTACCTGCACTGTCTCTTGAAGGAGATAACTAATCCTGGCACAGGAAGTTTTAATATGCAAGACTTAGCATAAACTATGAGTGTAGTATGGGTTAAAATTTTAGCTTTTAGTCTAGGAGATGAAAAATCAGAGAAAGCCGAGGAGAAAGCTGTATTTGTAGTAGGTGCTGAGGTACTTCTCAGGTTAATTTTCCATCTATGACAACCCAGAGAATTACCGACAATAACAAATACTGTGCATAGGGGTGGATTATTAGGATTATACAACTCACTGTACATTATTCCCAGTGATAATCCTTCCCATATGACACGAGAGGCTTAACAAGTGATAATCCTTTTGCACGGTAACTGGTGTTTTGACATTTTTTGACAAAAAATTTAAATTTTTGATTCATGAAATTATTAATTAATAAAGAATTAAAGTTTAGTTCGTTGTATAACCTTTTGAATACCACTCGATTTTTCAGGATTACCTAATACTTTCACCTGACACTCAACGCGTTACCAGCAACACCACTCCTTCGGAGTCGTGGTGTTGCTGCGTAACGCGTTTCGTGACAGGTAAAAGTATTATCCGGTAATCCTGAAACCTCTTGTGGTATTACATTCGATAATATGGGATAATATGACTCACCTATCAAATTTTTATAATCCAACAAATGTTCCCTAAGATTTACATGAACAATATGTCCTACTTTTGTGAAACTTGACACCCCTTCTTTATCTTTAGGTAATACTGCTTTAAATATAGATTCTGAACTAAAATTCTCATATTTCAATGTGATTTCTTCAAGTTTGAAATTTGTGACTTGCACATTGAGCTCTTCTAAGCTCTGTCTAACATCCTCCGGTAAATCTGTCCAGTTCTTAATTATTTCCGGATTCAAATATATTGAAGTGCCTTTATCATCGTCGTGAGTTATTGGCTTGAAATTTTCCATCTTCAAAAGGAGTTTTTTGATTATGGGCAATATTGACGAGACTTTAGTGTTGCCTATATGAAGTAACGGCACTGTTGAAGGCTTATCGAAGACATTTCTGTTTAATGTCGTCATTAAATACACTGATTCTGGGGGTTTGAGCTCCATAGTAGTGTATTTTTTAAGGTTTTTAACTAGCACTAGAGATAATTGGTTGGAGTACTGATGTAGACGTAAGAGAGGATAATATAGCATCAAGGAATTATGAAATAATCGCTAAAAACGTACTTTTTTCCTGGTAGACACTAAAAACTTACAAAAACATGCACGAAAAATGTTGGGTTATGTGGTTTGTTTATCTTTTGGGTTATGACGGTTATGTCATTTGTCAAAGATAGAAATAGCTCTTCTTTTTTTTGAGGAACTGGCCATGGCAATGAACTATAGCCAGAAACTGGAATGCGCACACATTGCCATATCTGCCAAAAAAATGTAGCCATGAAAGACAGATGCCACCAATGAACTATAACCAAAAACTGGAATGCTAACACATAAGGACGAACGTGAAGCCTAGTGCGGCTGCTGCGGAGGGGATACCTGTTTTTGTCGCACTCATTATTTTAAATGGCGAAAATTGCTTCCAACACGTATTCAAATTGATGAAACCTGTGAAGGGAAATATGACAAAACTTTCGAAAACGTCATATGTCAGCGAGCAACAGAAAAAAACAACATTCCCCCTTGTGGCATCTGTCTTTCATGGCTTCATTTTTCTGGCAGATATGGCAATGTGAGCGCATTCCAGTTTTTAGCTATAGTTCATTGGATGCCACAGAGGGGAATGTTGTTTTTTTTCTGTTGCTCGCTGACATGACGTTTTGGAAAGTTTTGTCATATTTACCTTCACAGGTTTCATCAATTGGAATACGTGTTGGAAGCAATTTCCGCCATTTAACATAATGAGTGCGACAAAAACAGGTATCCCCTCCGCAGCAGCGGCACTAGGCTTCACGTTCGTCAATATATGTTCGCATTCCAGTTTTTGGTTATAGTTCATTGGGCCATGGTTAATGGTTAGTAGCACAGTCGGAATCAAGGATATTACACACTACTGGATTGCTTATCGGCTTCGTTTTTGCTAATCGCCGTCCAAGGATAATACACACTACTACTACTACTACTACAGGATAGCCTATCCTTATAAGGCCTGTGTGGGACAAATCTGAAGCCTCCCACTACGCCAAATCACCAATTGTGACGTAGGCAGCATATCCTTTCTCGCTTTGACGTAGGGTGTTTGCACCACAGGTTATGATTCCGCAGGCTTTTGCTATGCATAGGGCACTTTTCAAACACCGAAAAAATGATCGGTTAAATAAACCGGAGGCTGTCAAAAAAATCCGGTAAAAGTAGGTGTAAAACCGGATACAAGATTTTTCTCATGCATTTTGGAACGCTTTGGTATGTTGAAGTTTGGTTGTGACGGTTGTGTTGCAACAATTTAACGGACTGCCGATAGTGCCAATTCAAAGCAATAGGGTACTTGCATGGAAAATTAAATTGATTATTGTTTATTGCAAACTGTAGGAAATCGAAAAAAATTAGTTACTTTTTTTTAATTCCACCCAAATATGATTATTCCGGAAGTTATACAAATATTAAGTTTTTTATATATAGATATACTGAGCATGTGCGACGTCACAACTCACAACGTATTATACCTAAGTTATGACATCGGAAGGACATTTCAAAGCGTTGTATCTCCGTCAATTTTTGACTAACAAGAAAAAACACGTGTTGACTTATTTTTCATGGACTATCGAAATCAGCAATAAAAAAATTTGATGCAAGGGGCCTATAAGTAACTGGGACAGCAACACATCAGCTCTTGTACTATTAAATGACTTTTAGGTCAAATAGGTATTTGTCGAACTATGAATAAATTAAATGATGGTAAAAATAGTCCAGGAGATTATTATGAATTATTTTTTTCCCAGATACTTTTGGTGACGATGGTACATCAAGAAAAATGTGTCAAAAAATCTTCAACCAAAAAAACCTCAATGGAAAAAACCCGATTTAAATTCTAAACTACGACCGCTAGTGCAAACAGCTGACGACAGTTATGAGTATGACGTCGGAAATGGTGACACACCAATATGGCGGCGTCGGCGGCGATTACCAAAAACGTGGCCGATAAGCAATCCTTATGATGACCGCTTGCACCCAAGAAACACACACATCTACAGCAGGATTACTTATCGGTCCCATTTTTGGTAATCGCCGCCGACGCCGCCATATTGGTGTGTCACCATTTCCGACGTCATACTTATAACTGTCGTCAGCTCTTCGCAAAAGCGGTCGTAGTTTAGAATTTAAATTTATGATGTAAAATATTATTTTATTTTAATTAACATAATAGGCAAAGAGGAAGATGAAAACGAGATCTAAAAAAGAATTGTTTTATAGCGTTTTCTGTTGGTAAAACTCGTGCTGTCCGAGTTCTGCACTCAACACTGAATCAGTTCACGTTTAGTTTAATCCCAAAAGAACATGAATTTGGCGAGTTTTGTCATTCTTTTCAAATTTATTATTTAACGATCCCTGATCCCTAACCTAACCTAAAGATATTTTCAATGGAATAAAAATTAAAAACGTTTGTGTGTATGAAAAAGTTGAAAACGGAAGTTTTTCCTGTATGTAAAGTACATAATTATGCTGTCTCCCGAGATGTGCAGAAATAATTCCAATGATACCTGCGTTGAGATTAATTTTTATGTCAATTTCAATAATAAAATTTTGAATTTTTGGTATCTCATTATCCCTGGCAAATGGCAAACATTCAGGCCTATGATGTATCCTGTCCTGTTATTTCAACGTCTGTGTTAAGGCTCAACATCTATTTCTGTCTCTATTTTGACGTTGCTGTTAAAATAACAGAAAATGATACATCATAGGCCTGCGATTGTGTATAATAATAATAGGTCTGTTTCTACAGAAATCAGAAACCAGTCAGAGTAAATTTCATTGGTTGAAAACAGTCAGAAACAGTCAGAAAACTAGTTTTAGTTTTAACCAATGAAATTCACTCTGACTGGTTTGTGATTTCTGCAGAAACAGACCTAATAATTCTTCCTCTTCATCGCTGTCGCTCGACGAAGATAAAAAATATAGAATTTTATCAATATCGATATCCATAATTTTTTGGTTTTGTTTATACACAGACTTTTCGGCACTTTACGCCATTTTTGTTGTGCCCTGACATTGGCACGAGCTCTCTGACCTCGTGCTGGAAAAGTTGCACGAGGGCAATAATTGATTGCCCTGGTTTTCCAATAGAACATAAAAACCCACTCGAAAACTGCCAACAGAACATAATTTTTGCATGAGTGCAGCACGAGTTTTACCAACAGAAAACACTATTAGAATGTTAAATAATGTAGTAAAACCAAGTATTTATAGAGCAAAAGCCTGCGGAATCATAACCTGTAGTGCAAACAGCCAACGTAAAGGCGAGAAAAGACACTGGCGGCTAAACATAGGACTGCGATCCAACGTTGCCAAATTGATTTCGTTGCTAGGCGCGTGCCCGCCCACTCCATTGAGCCAAGTTTGGCTGTCACTGTCAGTCTGTCTTTTTCATTAATCTCTTTAGTGCAAATAAACAAACAAAGCTAGTAGTTATTTCTAAATATTATAATATATTTTTTTAGAGAACTTTGACCTTTTATTTTTAGTTTTAAACTAGGTCATGAGCGCGCTTCGCGCGCTTTTTTTTTAAATCAAGTCCATCAAAATAATTATAAAATGGAAAATATTTATTAGGTAGGTGTTGTACAAAAAACAGCATAATTTTTGATTTAAATGTACATTATACATTAAATGTAACAGTGAGATAAGTTGTATAGATGTTATTCTAGTGAAGAAATTTCAAATGCGATGGATGGAGTTGGTGACTAATTATTTTTGTATGGTATATCATAATGATTTTAAATCGATCACATTTCTTGAATGTACGGTGTGCGTATGTCTACTTATCTCATTCTGTTTTATGGAACTCGTAGGTGTAGGTATACATTATTCGAAGTGGTTTATTTAAAACAGAATAATCATAACCATAATCAAGGTGTTATTATAAACCGAGTTAGTAACTATTTATGTGCTGTGGTATAATACGAGATATCGAGTCTTAATTTTTTTTTTACATTTTCATGAAGTTCCTTTTTTTTTATTAGGCCAGTTATTGAAGTCTACTCGATCAACATTTTACTGCAAACAATCGAAAAAAAAAAATTTTTAAAAGATTTTAAATTCAATTGCTCAATTATTCAACTTACATTTTTTGTTTGTACCTACGTGGTAGACATAAATTTTAAATGTGATCAAAGTAGTTGGTGAATTATTACTTTTGCGGTACATCGTAATGACTTTAAATCAATCTTATTTTTTGAATATACGGTGTGCATATGTCCAGTGGAACTTATTCTATTTTATGGAACTCGTAAGAATCCAAAGTTTAAAGAGTGCTAAGTCTTCATGTCGTTCTTCGTTATTTTCAATCATTTATGTTTATCCTGTTCAGGTTTTTGTCTTGTGATCTTCAAATATCTTGTAAATAAGTTGTAAAGATCTTCTGAAATCACCTATGACTGCGAAATTTCAAAATTAAATTATCAAAAAAACAATTCTTTAAAAACATGGTTTTTGACAACACTATTGCCTCTTTGTTTCCCTGAATAAAGTTTGAATGAGTCCCACGAACGAACTCTGAAAAGCGCCACATAAAGTTGTCCGTGACTAATACATCCTTTCTGGAGATCAATTACTATCCTATCAAATGTTTGTCCTTGAGATTTGTTAATCGTAACTCATTGCAAAGGCTAATTTTATTTTAAAATTGTCTTTGTTTGAACGTAAAGGGGTAGACGTTTTCGCAGTAGAGTGTTATTCGATTTATGAACACTATTTCTCCCTGTTTATCTACAGTCAATATCTCACAGCGTAACAGATTATCCCCAAGTTCCAGAACTAAAGGCCTTGTGCCATTGCAAAGGCCTGCACTGATGCTTAGATTTCTAATAAGCATACAATAGAATTCGTTTTCAATCGTAAATCATGGAGCGGGAATTCGGCGGATTAAGCGAATTTAAATATTTTGGAAGAATAGCATCATTTAGATCACTATTATCACAGTTCTTGACACTATCTATACTGGTGTAGAGTTTTTCGGTCTTGACGTCCAACAGTTCGACAACTTATTCGTTTATTTCTTCGACATCAACATTTCTTGCAGAAAGTATTGCAGATTTGGTCAAGTCCCTGAATCTTCCTTCTTTTAGTATTGTTCGTCGACTTTTCGTATGAGGAGCGAGGGGGTGAAGCGAAAACCAGGGGTGACCTTAGGTGACCATTGGCGTTCAAATGTAGGGTGCCACCAGCTCACATTCCTTTCGAGTATTAGATTAAAATCGACGGACTTTACTTCTCATAGATGTTTTCAACAATATCCGAATTATCAATACATTTCTCCGACAATTTTAGATTGTCGTTAGAATCATTTAGTGTTCGTTATCGCATAAAAATGGCTCAATTTCAGCAATAAGTGCTTAATATTGGCCTTTAAGGCGGCAACCGTTCGAGATTTGTCAACATAGACTTTGGATTTTAGAATGCCCAGAGAAAAAAATCCAGTGACGTTAGGTCGGCCAATTGTGGATTCTGAAGGACGATCGTTGACATCATAAATTGCACGGAGTGCACGAAACGTTTTCCGAATAGAACATTGGTTTTGATAATGATAATAATTTTTAACAATTCCGACGCGTTGCTCAATCGTGTAGCGCTCCATAATAAAATGCAGAGACTAATTGAATACGGCTGCCAAAGATAGCACCTGTGTGACTATCGAGTTTTTCATGGGCTATTGTCAAACATCGAGCGTTACTATTGGAAAACCCTATACATACCTAGATTCTTCTATTGGACCTAGAAAAAATATTAAACCACTTCCTTGCTTTGAAAAACAACCATCTACAGAGCAATATCTAATAGCACAGCTAATAGGCATATTGTCAGAGAATTGTCACATAAGTAACAAATTCACAGTCCTTCACAAAGATGCAACCGAGGAGAACATTGAAAATGCCGAAGCAAACTTCAACGCTAATGCTTGTGATTATTGTGAGCTTTGAGATCCGCTAAAATTCAACCCTTTCCAGATTTTCCAGAATTTTTCCGACCCAATCCAGAAATTTCCATGCGTTTTCCAGACGTTTCCAGAAATTTCCAGACTTTATCCAGATTTTTCCAGACTTAGCTAGACTTTATGCAGACTTGTCAAAATTTCTCCAGACCTTATCAAGCCTTTTCCAGAGGTTTCCAGACATTTCCAGACTTTCCCAGACTTTATCCAGACCTTTCTAGACTTGGCTGGATTTTTCCAGACTTTATCCAGACTTGTCTAGATTTCTCCAGACCTAATAGAGCCTTTTCCAGACGTTTCCAGAAATTTTCTGGCTTTTCCAGACTGTATCCAAACTTATCCAGACTTTTCCAGATTTAGCTAGACTTTATCCAGACTTGTCTAGATTTCTCCAGACCTTATCCAGCCCTTTTCTGACCTCTCCGGACTTCTCCCAAACACTTTCCCGACTTCAAATACACTTTTCCAGACTTTATCCAGACTTGTCTGAATTTCTCCAGACCTTATCAAGCCTTTTCCAGACGATACCAGAAATTTCCAGGCTTTTCCAGACTTTATCCAGACTTTTCTAGACTTGGCTAGATTTTTCCAGACTTTATCCAGACTTGTCTAGATTTCTCCAGACCTAATAGAGCCTTTTCCAGACGTTTCCAGAAATTTTCTGGCTCTTTTCCAGACTTTATCCAAACTTGTCTGAATGTCTCTAGACCTTATTAAGCCTTTTCCAGACGTTTCCAGAAATTTCCAGGCTTTTCCAGACTGTATCCAGATTTTTCTAGGCTTAGCTAGATTTTTCCAGACTTTATCCAGACTTGTCTAGATTTCTTCAGACCTAATAGAGCCTTTTCCAGACGTTTCTAGAAATTTTCTGGCTCTTTCCCAGACTTTATCCAAACTTATCCAGACTTTTCCAGACTTAGCAAGACTTTATCCAGACTTTATCCAGACTTATCTAGATTTCTCCAGACCTTATCCAGCCCTTTGACCTCTCCGGACTTCTCCCAAACACTTTCCCGACTTCAAATACACTTTTCCAGAACTTATCCAGACTTGTCTGAATTTCTCCAGACCTTATCCAGCCTTTTTCCGACGTTTCCAGAAATTTCCAGGCTTTTCCAGACTTTATCCAGACTTGGGTAGATTTTTCCAGACTTTATCCAGACTTGTCTAGATTTCTCCAGACCTAATAGAGCCTTTTCCAGACGTTTCCAGAAATTTTCTGGCTTTTCCAGACTTTATCCAAACTTATCCAAACTTTTCCAGACTTAGCTAAACTTTTTCCAGCCTTATCCAGACTTTATCCAGACTTGTCTAGATTTCTCCCGACCTTATCCAGCCCTTTCCTGACCTCTCCGGACTTCTTCCAAACACTTACCCGACTTCTATTATGTATAAGTAATTGCCTATCTATGAGTCGGCACTCAATGTATGCAAAAGCGGTAACAACCTTGAACTAACATAAACATATCGATTTTATATTCCGATTGCCTTATTTGCATAATTAAAGCGGTGACAACCTTGAACTAACATCTCGATTTTATAGTCAGATACTTTCGCTTCTCTCTTTAGAATAACTATAAGTACCTAAATATAAATTCACAATGAAAAAATATACCATATAGGTATTATTATTTTTATCTTATTATTACCATTACTTATTTTCTATTTTTATATTTCGGCCTGTCAAAATGACATTATTATGGAACTCATTTGTAGTGTCAAAATGACATAATTTATTGGATTGAGTACTTTAATGCGATTTCATTAGAGTACTAAGTAGTATAATGAGATCTCATTATAAGTACCTACTATAATGAGAAAAAAATATAGGTAGGTTTAGTAGGCAAAAATATGAAAAATTTATTGAAGACAACATTTAACGATTAAAATAATTTACAATTTCTGGAATATAAAATATTGTATGAAATTTGGATCATAAACAATCATTATGGCACAAATATCTATAATAGGATTATTTATCACCTACTAATCATGCGAGAATTTATTTGTTGTATAACAGAAATTAACTTTTAATTATTATTGTAACATTATCCGCAATATAAATCTATTTTAAATTTGGCGCTTAATGAAAGGAGGATTTGGCAACATTGGATCGCGATCCTATGTCTAGCCGCCAGTAGAAAAGACATGCTGCCTATGTCACAACTGGGTGATTTGGCGTGGGGGCTTCAGATTTGTTCCACACGAGGCTATCGGCTATCCTGGATCCTTATTCTTGAAACAGGGGAGCAACGTTCCCAGGAGAACGAGTATTTCGTCTGTGTTACCTAAATTATCATTTCCATATCATTGAGAAAAACGGAACACTTGTTCTCCTCGCTGCTCCCCTGTTTCAAGAATAAGAACCCTGGAAGTAGTGTTCTTGGGTTATAAGTACTTTTAATATTTATAATTTCTCCAAATAAATATTGTTCGTCAATTTTTATCTGACACTTTCCGTATGAGGAGCAGGGAGGTGGCAAAAACAGGTGTGACGTCAGTTGACCATTGGCGTTCTAATAATCTGTGGTTCTAATGTAGGGTGCCACCAGCAGCAGCTCACATTCCTTTCGAGTATCAGATTAAAATCGACGGATATTGCCGTTTTTTCATTAAAAATTAGTTTCGTATAATGAGCTAATTGAATCACTAGTGATATATTGAGCGCATTAGTCATTACATCACTGGTAAAATAATCCAAACTTATTATAACGTAACTTAAACAGGCTGAACTGGGTTACGTATAAATAAGCTCTTATGTGGGTAGTATACCTACATATAAAAAAACAAATCGACACAAAACTTTATTCCAAACATAGTTAATTATTTAGGCTAAAACAAAAAAAGCCTCATTTCAATTTTCATTCTTTGTCTTGTGCTAGCTGCATTTCCAAAGAACAGCTTACATTGCGTCTTTTGATAACAATTTTTTCCTCTGGCTTATCTTTCTCCAAAGATCCATTATCAGTAACATTCTCCATTAATTTTTCCGCTAAATTATTTTTCTCAGATTTTTCGTCTTCCTTTAGTTTTTCCTGCGCCTCTTCATCTTCGACAATTTTTCGCAACTGTGGTAGCTGCTCTAAGAACTGTTTTTCTAGCTCTTTGTTCGCACTAACAAATTCATCAGGCTCGTCTACGAGATGTTCCAGTTCAGGCTTTGGCTTTCTAATCAATCCGCTTTCTTCGAAATCTTCCGACAGATCCACACCCATATCGGCAAAATGCTTTCTCATAGATTCATCGGTTACCTCAATCGGTCCTCGTTTTCCAAACTCACGCGGCTTCTTTTCACTTTTCTTATAAATGGTCTTAAACTTGTTAATTATTTTAACTTCTTTGTCAAGAGCATCATTGTATTCTTCGATAATTTTCGCTCGCTGGATTTTGGATCTCTCATTGAACTCTTCGTAGCTTTTATTGAATTTTTTAATTTCTTCTCTCACTTCGGAAATTGTCTTGCTTATAATAGTCGCATTATCCAACTCAGTTACTGGTTTGACATCGGTGTTGCACATTATAGTTTGGGTTTTCGAGAATTTATTAGATTTATCTTCTTCAACTATATCATGCCTTGAATATAAAATTGTATCATTTTCTTCGGCAATATCTTTTCCAGGAACAATTTCGTATTCAGGCTTTTCAACTTTTTTCGATTGGAGAATCATTTCACAAATTTCATCCTTATTGCATTCTTCACGTTGCTTTCGCTGAATAGGTTCCAAAATTATTGTATTCCCTTCTGGAACGTTAATATCCCATTTCAACAAATTCTTATAGATTTCATCGTCTGTATCTTGATTAAACTTGATATTCCGAGGTCCAAGCGACGCTTGCAGTTCCTTTTTGGATTTCGCTTCAACGACAAAGTCTCCTTCTCCAATTTCACCAGTATCGGCTCTAATATCTTCACATTTGTCCAAAGTTTCTACTAAAAGTCGTTGCTGACTCAGTGTCGAATCAAAATCATCAGGATCACTTTCATCATCGCTATCTTTAGAAGCAGATGTTGGCGCACAAGTTAACAGGCTATCCAGTTTTGGCTCTTTGAGGGAGAAATAAGCCATAGAGCCTTCACAAATTGATTCGCTTAGTTCAGAGTGTTTATCATGACAGGAGTTTTGACTTATTTGAGTAGATGATGACAGATACTCATCTACGTTCATTTTTTCAACTTCAACATATAATTGTTTTTCTTTTTTATTATTACAAGAGCAGTTTTCTAATTGACATTCATGACAATTCTCAACTGCAATTGGCGCATCTTCCACCCCAACTTCAATATTTTTGATTTCCTTCTTAGCCTCAGAAGTGGATAATTCATCAGCGTCAACTTTATCTTCTGGTGCAGTGTCTTCAATAACTTCTTTTTCAACTTTTACATCTGATTCTTCTCTGGTATCTGCTGCATTTTCTATATTGTTTTCTTTGACTTCATCATCACAAGATTCAGCAATATCATTTTCAAGGGCTTGTTGTCCTTTATTCTGTCCATCGCTATCGTTATCAACATTTTCGATTGATAAACGAAACATTTTCTCTTCAGCTAGGGCTTGTTGGCTTGTACAAGGTTGAGATTCTATTTCCACATAAGCTTCTAATTTCTCTTTAATAACTACATCACCTTCAAATTCTTCAACATCGTAATTGGCATTAGCAGTTTCCAATTCATTATTATCATCCTTATTGACAACTTGTGTTTGAGGATACAAACTCTTAGTCGAGATTGGTTGAATTTCGGTTCCTGTGGGATTTCTTACATCTCTGATTTCTTCTATATCAGCATTATCCATTGCAAAGCGTAACATGTCTTCAGCAATAGCTTGTTTGCTTGAACAAGGTTGAGGTTCATCATTCAATTCTTGTATCAATATTTTTTTTTGTGAGACAACTAAAACAGAAAAAATGTATTTTTGAAGTGATCTACGCGTAGACCATACTTTCAGGTGAATAATCAAATATTCTTGTCCGGTAAGCCGAGTAATCTTCAGTTGTTTGTCTGTCTTTCATGAAATCATCAGAGTCGACAGAATCCGAATCGGTCGTTGATGATTCCGAATCAGTCGCTGATGATTCCGAATCATTATATGCTTGATGGCGTTCGCCATTTGCAATGGCTGCGCCATATATGACTTCTGGTTTTTCATCAGAGTTCGAGTTTTCTAAATAAAAAGTAACACTTTAATGAAATAATGAATATGATTTCCGCTTTCAGGTGTATCTGAAGATATTTTGATTTTGTGGTCAGTTTCTCCTATTAGACATCCCTTACCTTCTTCAACTATTACAGGTCGAATATTATTGTCATCCTCGTTATTCGTTTCACAGTCAATTATTAAATTCGGTTGCGAAAGATTCTCAGCTTCACTCTCCGAGTCTGCAATTGATGTGCAAAAACCGCTATCCACGTGTTGCGCAGGGTCTTCTGCTGCGCGCTCTGCTCTTCTTCGGTCTCGCAATGCAATTAAAGCTGGAAATTTGGAAAGAATTGGGAATGTTTTTGCTGGCAATAATTGTACCAAATTGGGATTTATTACCATCAACGCTATCCATAATCTTCTGCCGTTCTCTATCTATCCAGCGTTTCCTTTCGGCATGTTCCTCTGCTATTCCTCCTCTCTCCCTTGAACATGATTAAATTTTATTAATTTGCAGTAAATTGTTAATTATATGATTATACCAAGCTTCAGCACAGGCTCTCTCTCTAGGAAAAATCGGACGATCGTCCAAATATTGCAGATTTTTCTAAAAAGAAATAGCTCTTTTTTAATGTGCAATATTTTGGAACAAGCAATCTTACGCAGGCCAATATCAAAGTTTTTCTATAGGCCGGTATTTTTCTTATAACAGGATTACCCATCAAATTTAAAACCCTCAAGCCAGGCATATTGCCCAAAATTTGAACTATGAGAGGTTCTTCAATATGATTGTTTGCCAAATCTAGTACCGACACTTCTATAAGTTTTTCCAAATGCTCTAAGTCTTCAAGGCTTTCCACGTAATTGTTGGACAAATTGAGAGTGTGTAAGCCTGTTACGCAATCTAGAAGAAAGTAGGTATGTACTTACATAAAAATTAATAAAGAAAGAACCATGAGACCAAAGAAGAATTAGTTTGATAGTTGCATGTATTGTTAAGAACGTGTTAAAAAATTCTTGAAAAATAGGTCTTTTTCAAAAACGTGTAAAGCCCGGGACACATTTATCATGCATCCTTCCGATCCGACTCCGATCATACAATGAGGGTCCTTATCCTTGGACAACAGGAAGCAGCGTTCCCAGGAGAACGAGTGTTCCGCTGCTCCCCTGTTCCAAGAATAAGGACCTTGATTTTATGATCGGAGTCGGATCGGAAGAATGCATGATAGATGTGTCCCTGGCTTAAAACGTTCTGGAACAAATAAATGTTGATAGAACGTTTTATTTTATTTTTCGGACATTTCGACGTTAAATAATATGGAAACTTTAAAAAAAACCATTATCGTACTTCTCGTGCGTTAGGGTATAGTGGAGTAGCTTACCTAAGTTTTCGATTTTCTTAACTTGATTATGCGCCAAATTCAATGTGTCTAAAATTGAACAGTTCTCCAAATTTTCAATTTTTTTAATTAAATTATAATGAAGAAATAAACTCCTCAGCCCTTTCTGATTATCTAAAATATACTGGGTTAGAAGTTCAAAATCTAGACTAAATATTTCCATACCGAGTCCGCTTATTTCTTTAATGCCATTATTTTCAAGCCACAAGCACTTTAGCCCAGTATATTCTTCTAAGTTCTCAATGTAAGAGAAACCTTTGAAATGAAGATAAAGGACATCATTTAGATATGGGGTTTGGTACAGCTTTTGTTCTTTGCACAGTTTTTTAATAAATTCTTTGGTCATTCTGGAAGAAGAAATTTGAATTTTATATTTTTATTGCGCACCCTGCATAAACCTCTGGGCAATATTGAAAATATGTTTGTACTTGCCTGGGACTTTTAAAAATACTATCAAGCCCATTATGTTTATCATTTCTATCAATTCTCTTATTATTTTCAGCATTAGAGGGATCGTTTATGATCAGCGACATTTTAAATGCGTGATTTATTTGATTATTGATCAAACTTCAAATAATTATATCCTAGCAACGCCCTACTGATTAGTTTGTGAATGGAATAATTCAACATTTTTAATAATTCAATATGAATGGTTCGACATTTTTTGTTGTTCTTTTATTTAAGCTGAAATCTAGATATTTTGTTATCAAAAAACGATTTAAAAAAATTTGAGCGCAAAATATTAATATTTGCGTTTGTTGCGAGCAGTTAAAAATTAGCGAATCGGTATAGACTAAATCACGATAGAAAGTGAAGTTGACAGTTCGCGTTGACATTTTTAGTAAACTTTTTCTTTAGTTTGTCAGCATGCGTTAGCGCTTCGATTTCGTCAGCTGGGATAAACGACAGGGTCGTATTTAGAAAAGTGATATACATTTCAGAATAAAAATTTATTTTCAATTTCTTTAAAGGAAGTTAAGTTATTAAAATCCAAAAATCCTAAAATTAGAGTCCAAAGTAAACACTTATAACAAGAGTAAACACTTAAATCCATTCTAAAACCAGGTTTGAAACGCAACACCGAAACCCAAAGGCACAGAACACTACATAAAAAACCAAAAAACCGATTGCGATAATAACAATTAAAAAAATAATGCAGTAAACGGCAAAAAACTGAAAGATTTCACACAAAAATTCGAAATTCAAAATTCAAAGACCCGAATCTGTTATTTTTATGTGTCAAATCAAAATGTCATGTATCATTATTTGATAGTTGTCAGAAAAAGGTACAGATCTGGGGATTTTATTTATTTTCAACTGGTGAAAATAACGGTCAAAATTCAAACTCTCTCGTGAATATGACTATACCAGGATAAAAAAAACGTATTACCTGTATGCGAGACGTCAGTAGCCAGATACGCCACGTGAATTTGTATACTCTCCATATAGGCCTTAACGCTGAACCGATTAACCCAATCATCACCTGATGTAATTTGTCTTTTTTCAATCGTATTTATTGAAGAAAGATGAAAAACAAACAGCTTGTGATCGGGATCAGCCAGCGCTTCCGTAAAGGCCTATACGGAAAGTATGCGAATTCACATGGCGTGCCTGGCTACTGACGTCACGCGGCTTAGGGTGGGTATTATAAAACTGCTTTGACAGTTAACTTGATGTTAACTTTTTGAATTACATGTAATTCTAGAAGTTAACTTTAAGTTAACTCTCAAAGTAGTTTTATAATACCCGCCCTTAAAGCAGTAGCACATAGAGTTATCGAACGCAGTCCTTAGGGCCCGGTTTCTCAATAGTTGTATTCCTTTCACACCTAGGAGGAGCTCCGGAACAGCTCCGGGGCTTCACGCGCTTATTTCTTTCAAAAAGTGTTTGTTGCACCACGCATCTGTGCCCTGTAAATCGGGGGCTTACTAAACACCGGAGCGAGTAGCTCGAGTGTTTCAAACCCTTGAAAAAAATACAACTAGTAGCGAGTCACCTCCGGGTTGGTTTCAACTCTAGGGTAAGCGTGTCCAGTTGCTATGTTTACCCTGGAGTTATGCTAAACCCGGGCTCCGGAACAACTCCGGGGCGTTACACGCTTATTCCTTTGGAAAAGTGTTTGTTGCACCGCACCACGCATCTCTTCCTTTCAAATCGGGGTCGACTAGCACCGGAGCGGAGTAGCTCGAGTGTTCCAAACTTTTGAAAGGAATAGAACTATTTATTATATGAGTTTTAGTGTCAAATATTGCTCAGACTAGAATAAGGGCCGGTTTCTCAATAGCAGGTCACCCCCAGGTTGAGCATAATTCCAAGGTAAACATACCAACTGAACACGCTTACCCTGGAGTGAAAACCAACCCGGGGTGACTCGCTATTGAGAAACCGGCCCTAAAGAGAATGAATTGTAGCAATAGTCCGAGATTAGAAAATTCGACCCCTAAAGGCTCATCCTCAATCAATTTAGTAGCGAAGTGGCACTTCGGCACGCAAGCTAGGAAAATGTTGTTTAACGTTGGTATCCTCAATGGACCTTTCTCATGCAATGAACAACAAGGATAGTTTATTAAGATTTCTGCAATAAAGAAAAAGACACATATAATGACGCGCGATACCTGTGTGGAATGACTTTGATTGGTTCCACTTGTCAAATTGTGCAATTTCGGTTATGTTTCTGTTTTTGTTTATTTTTAAACGTAAATATGACAAAATACGTATTAACATTAATTAGAAAGAAAACCCACCGCAGCAAAAATGTTTGCAGCAAACCTTTAATTGTACATTATTATTGTATTTGATATAAAAATCGTTATTTTACGAACCCTCAAATCTCTGTCCCAACTTAAATCGTCTTCATTCGAGTTGAGAGCACGTTACTATTGTTTTCTTACAATTTGATTGCCTGGGAACTTGTGAAAAGAAAGGTTTCACTTCTTTTTCGCCTAATTCTGACAAGAATTCATTCAACTCATCTGAACCATTGTATCATAAACAGTTTTTGTATTAATTTTCAGCAATATTGATTGATACTGATTGATTATTGAGGTTAGCTTAAATACGTCAGGGTCAGACCGTGTTCAGTAAATTGATGATTTAATTATCTGTCACCCACAAGATGCGCGCGCAGCACAGGGAAAATGAGAAAGGCAATTCCGTGCTAGCAAGCACGCCGACTCTGAAGTGCAAGCTTGCAAGCTACAAGCTTTTTCGATGCGTGCCGACTTATGTCATGCGCAGTACGGTTAAAAATAATTCAGGTTATCCTTGCGTTCGGTATTTTGCTCGAAGAGCAGAGCGGAGCTGTAATCACGTGACCAACGAGCGCACAGAGCAGTTGAACGCTGTATCAGAAGGCTTAAAATTTTAATAATCGAACATGAATGAGCCTGCACCGAGTACACTTTTTAAATAAATGAACAATAAATTTATGCTCGGAGAACTCAGATCGAAATACTGAACGCACGGTTCGTGACCGTACAACACGCACAGCAGAGTGAAAATTGACAGCATTAGTTGTATTCCTTTCACACCTAGGAGGAGCTCCGGAGGAGCTCCGGAACAGCTCCGGGGCTTCACGCGCTCATTCCTTTCGAAAAGTGTTTGTTGCACCACGCATCTGTTCCCTGCAAATCGGGGGCGACTGAACACCGGAGCGAGTAGCTCGAGTGCTTCAAGCTCTTGAAAGGAATACAACTATTGAGGATGGGTATAAATTTTCCAGCACGCGTGCCAAAGTATCATTTCGCTACCAGATTGATTGAGGATGTAGCTTAAGACCTAAGCTGCTTTTGGGGGCCACCTTTTGAGCGCTCCCGAGTTACTCTGAAGTACTCCAGCTACAGTTTGACCCGTTCGGTATCAGGCGTTCGAGTGCAAAACGCATGGAGTATAACAGGTGTCAAGTGTTCTAGGAGCTTCGCACTCTGCACCTGAAAGCGGCTCTATAAGGCCCGTATTCATAGTCGATGCTCAAGGTTGCGTTTTGGCTCAAGTACGACTTAACGCCATATAATATTTGCGTTTCCAAAAAACACGGAACAATGCTCACAACTGTCAAAAATCGGAGCTTGAGACAAGCATGCGTCTGAATACCGGGCCTAGTTGTTCAATCTTGGTTCAAAACCAATAACCCTTTTCACGTGGCTCCGGTTTAACAAACCGCAACATACCGCTCAAATTCGAGAGGTAGGTATCCATCACGTCACTTCACTTTGTAACCGGGTTAGAAAACGGTATGTCATTTCTCTAATGGCCGTTTCCACCAACTATTTTAGGGGAGCCCTAACGATAAGTGTTCCCTAAAATAACATTTTTACATGGAGAACTGTCAGATTAAGGTATACCCAATGAAATGGCCATTACCGTTTTGTAACCCGGTTAGTTAAACCGGAGCCACGTGAAAAGAACTATAATGACTTCAAAACAGAGTTCATTGGGTTCATTGGTTCAGCCCAATGAACTATAACCAAAAACTGGAATGCTAACACATAAGAGGTGCTTTCCAGTGACCCATTTGAGTTACTCCTGAGCAGCTCAGGAGTGCTCCACAATTACTTTGCGCGTTCCAGTGCTTAGAGTGTCGTATACTTGAGCTACTCATTTCTGTTATCCCCTGCCCCCTCGTGCACCAACCCTTTTGTCTGTGTTTCATGCTCCTGAAATCCGAAATGGTGGGGGTTAAGACGAGAGCGTTCCAGTGCTACTTATGTCGAACAGTTCAAGAGCGTCACACTTCAGGAGCATGATACTCTAACAATTTAGGCACTGGAAAGGGGCTAAGGACGAACGTGAAGCCTAGTGCGGCTGCTGCGGAGGGCATACCTGTTTTTGTCGCACTCATTATGTTAAATGGCGAAAATTGGTTCCAACACGTATTCCAATTGATGAAACCTGTGAAGGAAAATATGACAAAACTTTCGAAAACGTCATATGTCAGCGAGCAACAGAAAAAGACAACATTCCCCGTTGTGGGGAATCTGTCTTTCATGGCTTCGTTTTTTTGGCAGATATGCCACTGTGTGCGCATTCCAGTTTTTAGCTCTAGTTCATTGGTTCAGCCACAGCATATACAAAAACAATCAGGCGGGCTTTATTTGAAATTGATGCAACTTTGCGTACACGCAAATGACGTCATTCGTGATTGAAAATTCGTGCACGGCTTATTTGACATGCACTTTTTCAATCGTGACTGACGTCATTTGCGTCATATTTGCGTGTACGCAAAGTTGGATCAATTTCAAATAAAGCCCCCAGCAGGCTTAACTCTCACGCGCATCTTTTCTGCGCACGCCGCCATCCTGTCATTAAACGGCAGGCCGCAGGGGCGCTGAAATTTTATTTTATTTGTTTATTTCTGACGGTGGTCATACTGGTCATAGGCGTGCGGTGTAGAGCAGAATTTTAGATATGATTTTCGAAGTGATTTTAGTATATTCGTGTTGTCATTTATAGTGTTATCTGTTATCATTGTTGTATACCTAATAATAATAATAATAAATTAGTAATTATAAATATTATTATATGTAACTATGAAAGTAATTATCGTTAAGGTTTAAAGTCAATCCCTATTTTCTGAACCTTGTGTTCAAAAATTCCAAGAAAAATATATGTTTTATTGTTATCGATATACTTTAATCCATAATTTTTTTAAGCAAATTTGACTCGCAATTTTTGAGTTATATCACAAAAACTGAAAAAAAAAGTAGTTTTTCACCATTGATTTCAAAACGAATAGATGAAGTTTCCCATTATTTTTATTACGAACTACTATTGCAATTCTACGCGACATATATTTTTTTTAAATTTTTTGAACTTGTAGTTTTCTCGCTACTGCAAAAAAAGTTGGAAATACACCCGTAGCTACACTGTTTAGAAAAAAATCCGACGGATGAGCGTTCAAAATTATTTGCGTTGGTCGAAACTACAACCCTGTTTATGTAAAACAGAATAATACTTCGAATTTCCGCCAAAAAAAGAAAAAAACGTTCCATCACACAATTTAACCAAATGAAGATTTCTATTTTTTTTGACAGTCAAGTTAGGGCACACTATAGGGGCGACAGTATTGGCATCTAGCGTTGCTGTAATAAACTATAGGCCTGACTTTAAACCTTAATCAGGCCCAATGACTGTTTTATTATCTCAAAATGGCCGCTAGTGACATTTCCATGATTAGTGTGTGACAAAAACAGGTATCCCCTCCGCAGCAGCGGCACTAGGCTTCACGATCGTCAATATATGTTCGTATTCCAGTTTTTAGTTATAGTTCATTGCATGCCATTCAAACCAACTTGTAGATGACGTCATCACTTGTTAACGCGAGAAAATGGAAGGTTTGAACCACAGTCTAATGGCAACAGAAAACAAGCCATAAGTCCGGTTCGAACTTTTTTGAACTAGGTTTTATGTGACGTCACTGGTTCAACGCAAGAATGTACAGGTTCGATCCTAATTGAACCGGGTCGAACCAGTTCCACCGCGAGAAAACAGCTCAGTTGAACTTTCCGTGCGTTCGGTATTTTGATCTGAGTTCTCCGAGCTTGAATTAACCGTTTGATTATTTAAAAAGTGTACTCGGTGTAGGCTTATTCGCGTTTGCTTATTAAAATTTCGGACACTCTAATACAGCGTTCAACTGCTCTGTTCGCTCGCTGGTCACGTGATTACGGCTCCGCTCAGTACGCTCTGCTCTTTGAGCAAAATACCGAACGAAAGGTTTGTTTTGAACCGAGATTGTGCAACTTATACCTAATGGCGTTTCCGATTGGTAGATTCAGTGCGCACTGAGTGTATTTGCATCCTTTTATCGACCCGTAGAAGAAAAAGACAGAAATAGAAAAAATTGCACTAGTTCTGCACTAGATCTACCAATCGGAAACGTCATAAGTGTCTTGTCAAACAAATCAACTGGCAAGTGTTGTCAAGAGACTAAACAAAATGGCGGCCAAAGTCGGAAATTTTTAGGTTTATTTTTGAAGAAGTAAACAACGAGGTTTTTCAATAATTTCGGTATTTTTTATTTTCAAAATATTTTCAAATTTTCAAAAAACTATCTACTTTTTGAAGATTTATGTAATGTATTTAAATAGTTAAACATTTGCCTTGAAGACACGGAGAACAGCCTTTCCTAACCTCATTGTACATCCCAGTTTATTTTGGGAGAAAAATGTCTCGACACGTGCAAAATGCTGACTCCGCGGTACTAGAGCGAAGACTGCGACCTATTTACGGTAAACTCAGATTCATATTACATTTTTTCCATTTGATTAATGAACTATTTAGTCTATTACGAGGTCTATTATCACAGATTTTACTAATCGATCCCCCTAGCACAATGTAAAAAAAAATTATAAGCCTGAGCAATTATTAGGTATCCTTTGTTAGATTCAACAATATTTAAATTGATTTTTCAGTTTTACAAAGGTGCTAACGCTAAATTGGATAGACAATCTTGAGTTTAGCTGAGTTAGGAGGATATCTACTTAATTGATAACGGATCTGTTACTGGAGAGCAAGTGCTCTATTACTAAATTACTAAAATGCTCGCTAAGTAGATTCCAAACCTGTACTTAATACTATCACTGAAATAAAATTAATTTCCTTTAATGCGGAAAAGCTTAGTATACCATACCCTCGACCATACCATATGAGAATGCAAATTACAAAAAGTAAAATTTTCATTCTTATTACATGTAATAAGTCATTATTTTTAATGCCTATAAATTAGGGAAAAGCTTGTTCCAAACACAAGTTGCTTTGTAAAAATTCTGATGTTTTGTTTCAGATTGGTTAGATTCAGGCAATAATAAAAAAGCCCTTCAAGAATGTGATAAAGTTATAAAAAAGACGCCAAACTTACAATGCGCCAAAGCACTCAAAGCGCTCACTTTGCTAAGAATGGGAAGGGAAAATGATACTAATGTGATCTTAGACAATCTGAATGCCGAAAAGCCTATCGATGAAGCTACCTTGCAGGCAATGACATTATGTTACAGGGAAATGCAAGAATGTAAGTTTGAAATTAATATGTAATTACAAAAGGACATTTCCTTGCGAGTGCGCATATCCGTAAAAAAAAAAAAAAAAAAATTATCAATCACTTTTAGTGGAAAAAATATGCAAGTTATATGAAACTGCCGTTAAATTAGACCCTACTCATGAAGAACTACATACTCAGCTTTTTATGAGCCATGTCAGAGTTAGCGATTTCAAGGCGCAACAGCAAAGTGCTATGGCACTTTACAAGCAAAAACCTAAAAACCCGTATTATTGTTGGAATGTTATGAGTATTGTTCTGCAAGCTACAAGAGGAGAAGGAGCTACAGATCCTACTAAAAGAAAACTTCTTTTAAGTCTAGCTGAAAGAATGATGAAAAAATTAGTTGATGATGATAAAGTGGATGCTGAACAAGAAGTAAGATACAAAAAACTATTAGTATTGATTGAATTTAATTGATGAAAATCTATAGGTTCAATTATATGTGCTTGTCTTGGAACTACTAGACAAATATGATGATTTAATTAAAATCTTAGATGGTCCTTTAGGGGAAAAACTTCAGTGTGCAAACTTGTCACATTTAAAACTGAAATATTGCAAAAAATTGAATAGATGGACTCAAGTTAATGTAATCTGTAAGGAGATATTAAATGAAAGGTTTGCATCACGTATGCATTGCTATCAAACATTTTATTTCAAATTTTATAATTTTTAGTTTTGATAGATGGGATATTTGGAAGGAATATGTTAATTCTGTATTCAAATCAACTAATTCTTGCATTAATGGAGATAGTCAAGAATTTTCAGGTGATGAATTTGATTGTGCGGATAACACTGCTGAAAAATGTCATGAGTTTATTTGCTGTGTTATTGAAGGGGGAGCTGCGAATGGTGCGTGGTACTGAGCAAATTATCGAACATCCTTTGCTAATTTTTTTTCATTATTAGATTTTTTACTGAGAGGTCCATTCTTAGCCAGATTTGAACTATGTGCCAAGCTTCAAGAAAACAACATACCATCTAATGATATTTTAGGAGATATTATTGAGCTGTTTGTAGAGTATTTTAGGAAATTCGGACACAAGCCTTGTTGCGTGTCAGATTTAAGAATTTACTTGAAACTGTTGAATGACGAACAAAAATCGGAACTTGCAACGAAATTGGTCAAGGAAGTTGGGATAGGGCCTACTAGCATACCACAATCGGTATGTACAAATTTCAGTATTAACACATCAATTTTTGAGGAATTGCTGCTAAGCCTAACTGGAAGCATGTTATGTCAACATTAATTTATCAAGTAGAATAGAATACAGAGCCTATTACAAGTTTAAGTATTAGAATATATGTATATCCCTTGACATTTTTGCAATTAAATAAATTTAATAAAAATGATGGTGATAGATGATGATAAAATCAATTTTTCTGATCGCAGGTCATATGTGCTTTGCACAGAAACAAATCCAGAGGAGATTTTTGATTGTTCCAGAATCGTGTTGGAAGTTATATTATTTGAGATGCGCTTGATTCTTGGTATATCCATAAAATCCTATTTTTTTATCTGGTAGGGAAACCATTAGATTTTCCCATTTAATGTTGGGGTAGTTGCAATCTCCCAATATAAATGTTGAACTACTAATAATTATTTGTCACATTATCAATTGAAACATTCTATTTAATATAACTGGGCAGTAAGATTATATTTTTTTTAGGCCAATCAGATGCAACGACACATAGGCGCCCTCCAACTGTCCAGGCTGTGTGGCTCGCATCGGAACTTATCACCAGAACACCTACGCGCTTTAGTCACAGCATTCATTTTGCATTATCAGCATGGCTATCAGGCCTACGGCAAAGACTTGCCTTTCACAGACTTGGGACCTTCAGATAATTATGCCTTACTAGCTGCGCACGTCTTGTATGATTTATCTAGAATCGAAAACGGGGTGGATTATTTAATTGGGGCTGTAGCGTTGTTGGAGAGCTTACTGAAAAATTCTCCTAGTAATTTTCATGCAAAATTATTGGCAGTTAAATTTTATCATATGTTAGGTGAGAAGCTGAATTTAATTGCATTGATTATGTTTTTATTTCAAATTTACTTATTTAGGTGATGGTATGGGAGCAAACAATATATTCTACAGCCTCGATATTAAACATCTACAATTAGACTCTTTAGGCTACATCCATTGTGGACAGTTAGCCACAACAGGATTGTATTCTTTATGTGCAATTCATTATGATACAACCTTAAAGTTTTTTTCTTCCAATTATAAGGATGTAAGTATGTATTTGTGTTCATGTAAGAGGAAAATCTAACATCGTAATAATTCTAGAGTACAGATCATTTAACGTTTTCATATAAATTCGGTTCCTTCCATAAATTAGACGAATTTATGGATTTCCGGGAAACAATGAACAACAGCATGCATTACACCACTGTTGTTGTAGACAGAATAATTTTAAGCCTCGTCGACTGTTCTAGATTAGATAGTTTGTATAATTTGGACATATCACCTAAGGACAATAAAATTGAATGGGATAAGTTAGGGTAGGTCTTTACATATTTTTTTCTATAAATAATTATTTTTTTGCAAAATATTTTAGAGATAATAGGGATTTAAAGGTTTACGTAACATGGGACCCAGAATTTGCTAGTCAAGATATCGAGGAGAGTGAAGAAATAAAACAATTATACATTCAAGATCTTAAATTTTTAAAATTAAGAACACATATTTTGTGGTCTTTGAGCTGTGGAATAGAGGTGCTGAAATCTTTGGATGGTACCAGGCAAAAGCATATTGAAAGTTTGCAAAAAATATTGAAAGATTGGAAAGATTTAGAAGACGATGTTAGGGAGAATAATTTAAAACCTATTTCAGAGGTAGGAAATTGCTCAAGAAAACAATAAGTTCAAATAAAATATAATTTTCTTTAGGATCTTATTGCATATCCGCCTCCTTCTCGGCTACACAGTTTCCTGCAAACTTCCTATCGCACTAGTATAAAGGCTTTCATGGATTTTTTCCTTGCTCTTGCTGCTGATAACGAACAAGAAGCGGATAGCACCTGCAAAAATGCTGAACTAGAGTTAGAGTCTTTAACACAGAGGCTTGAAAAAATTGTAATGACAGCAGCCTCTGATTTTAGAGAAAAAAGAAAAGCAATGGAGCTGTTTGTTAATAGTTTAGAGGTAAAAATACATTATATTTTATCCCATATAAATGTTGTTAATTTGTTTTTCGTAGGTTATCTGTATTGGCTGTGTCCTTTGTATAATGTCTAGTGAATTGATAAAACCTTCCCAAGCAAAAAAAGGTAAAAAGAAACAAGCTCCAGAATCGAAACTCAAAGACTTCTTACATCTGTTAGTGAATCAACTGAAAACTCAAATAAATAAATTAAGTGACTTGTTAACAAACTGGTCGAACGCTGTGATCGAAAAAGACTTGGTGAACATTTTAGAATCTTTAAATTTAAACACACACAGTTCCGATTCACATAAAAATATTACACAAAGCTATGCAGTTTCATGTAAGGAAATTCAAGGTGTGCTGAAGAATAAGCTGAAAATGTTGGATACAATTTAGGAATAGTTGTGCGCCACTTCTTCCATTAAATCAATGGGTTGTGTATCTACAATGAACATTTAAAGGCCGCGGGACGGACCTTGAAAGGTGGCGAATTTATCAATAATAAGTGAGATTCTGAAAAATCTTGTCAGTGTAAAGATATAGTCATATTGAAATTATTTTTGACCAGTGATAGGATGTCAGGATACTGCCCTTAGGAGATTGTATATAATAAATCAATTATTAAAAATAAACATTTGATTTTTATTTTGCCATTTTACAAAAATACACACAATTATAGGATTTATTTCTTCTTTTTATTTACTTTTTTTGCATGAATCATGAAATCATCATCACTATCACTAGATATACAAATAATTTTATTACATCCATCTTCACTTTTTAGATATTTTTCAGGTATATCTTTAAAAGTAGTATTTGATGCAGAAGTATCATTCGAGCATTTTTCAATAGATTCACGTTCACTATCACTTGAGCTAATTTCATCAATTTTTATATATTTTTGAGAAAGATTTTTTGTTTTCATGGATCTTTTTGCAATGTTTTCTGTATTAGTTGAGTCATTAGCATTGTGCTCAGGTGATTCACTGTCACTAGAATCGGTTGATAATTCTTCAATATACTTCAATAAACTTTTATTAGATTTCCTTATTGATGATGATTGATATGGTTTTTTAGTTCTGCCTTCTTTTTCTATACTTATAGGTTTTGTGAAATTAATTTTCCTGTCATGAAAGAGTTGCTTTTCATATGCATGATTTATTGGCAGTCTTTTAGGTTTATCTCTATGAGGCTTGGTGTGGGTTTTTGGGAGCTTCAGATAATCTCCTTTAAAATTAGTTACAGATTTGTCGATCCTTGAAAAAAAAATACAAAAATTTTGGTAAATGAAGCATTCAATAATTATTAGTGTGTAGCTTAAATATTTGAAAATTACCTTTTATTATTTGATACCAAATTATTAACAGTTCTTTGGAAAAAGTTTAGGTTTGGTTTAAGGCGAGAACTTTCAGTTGTCAGTGTACCTTCTCGTCTTTTGCTCTCTTTAATCAATGCCTGTATTACCTCTCTAAAAAACAAACGTGTTTTATTTATAGCAATTACCATTGACATATTAACACAGATAGACATTACAGTAAACAAAATCTTCTGTCGTCAATATCTAGGAGAGCAAACAAACTCTGGTTTATCCCCTCCAATTAGGCTGCCAAACTGTTACGACTTCCAAGTATAAAAAGGACTACTTTTGTGAAACAAGCAGAACACGCGCTGCTGATCAAATGTATGTCATATGAGTTAGGGCCGAATTTATAGTCATTCCTTGAGTCTTTCTTGGAGGTCGTGAGTTTAGAATGGACACTTGTTACTATTTGACAAGTTAGTCATGTCAATTCTAAACGTTCAAGGCTTCCTCAAGGTCTGAGCAAATCCCAAGGAGCGATTCTTAAACTCTACAGTCATTATTTTAGTTTCCCACACACATTAATGAGATATTTTTTTATCACAGTTAATATTCAAAATTAAATTAATACCTAATTGATTTTTCAAGTTAAGTACTTGATTTCGGCAGGCAGTTTAAATGGGTCCCATTTCAACAAGATTTCCTACCTGGACAAAGAAGAAAGAAAAACTACTATTTGGGACCTTTTAGAACTGACAATTTTATTTCGTATGAGGGAACAATCGAGGACATTTAATTTGGTTTGGCAAATAATTAAATATTTTATCTCCCACTGAATTATTATAACCATATAATACCTTGGTTACGATAATCATAAACCGGGTCTTAACTCCCAAGGGAGTTAAGGATTTCATAACTCCCGCGCGGGAGTTAAGGATATCATAACTCCCAAGAGAGTTAACGATTTCCATAACTACCGCGCTTTTACCTTGAATAGGTGAAATTTTGACAAAAAATTGAAATTTTGGTTTATGGTTTATTCCTTTATTAAAATGGACAAAATACAGTAAATTCAGTAGGAAATAAAATTATCTATGTACCACGGGAATTATTAGGTGTTAATACCCACGGGCAATTGGTGTCTCCCGGGCCGAAGGCCCTCGGGACACAAACTTTGCCCTGGGGTATTAACACCCTCATAATTCCCTTGATACATAAATAACTATTATTTCTTACTGAACTATTATAACCATTTAATACCTTGGTTACGATAGTCATAAACAGGGTCTTAACTCCCAAGGGGGTTAAGGATTTCATAACTCCCGCGCGGGAGTTAAGGATATCATAACTCCCAAGGGAGTTAAGGATTTCCATAACTCCCACTTTTACCTTGAATAGGTGAGGTGAAACTTTAACAAAAAATTAAATTTTAATTTATGGTTTATTTCTTTATAAAAATGGACAAAATACAGTAAATTCAGTAGGAAATAAAATTATCTATGTACCACTGAAATTATCAGAATTGAAGTTTATAAAGGCACAAAAAGACAACTAAGAACGTGCATCACTATAGCTAAGAACGAGTCATGATGGGATAAGAAATGTGAAGAAATTAACACCTACATAGGAGGAAGGAAATGCTCAGAGATATGGAGATTTATATCAAATGTCAAAAACCCAGGAAAAGACAGAGCTTATATCCAGATTATTAAACCAGAGCAATGGGTAGAACATTACAAGGGTCTATTACAAGAAAGTAGACCGGAATATATATTATAGATTCTCCAAGACATATTGAAGTACATGGAGAAGTAGTTGAGATATCTGAAGAAACAGTAAAAAAGACTGTTAAGAATCTTAAGTCAGGTAAAGCTAGCGGCCCAGAAGGGATATACTCAGAAATGCTGAAATGGGGAACTGAGAAGCTCTTTAAAGGTCTCACATGTATTATCAATAAATGCCTAAATGGACATCATCCTGTTCCACAAGACTGGAAAACGGCTTTTATATCATCCATTAACAAAAAAGGAAATAAGCTGGATTGCAATAACTATCGGGGCATATCAGTCACAAGCACACTAAGCAGACTATACGGTAGAATCCTGCGTGATCTCATTGAAGAAGATTATAAAGAGCGAGAAGAAGAAGAGCAGTGCGGCTTTAGAGCAGGAAGATTAGGAACGGCCAACGTATTTTGCCTAAAACAAGTCATAGAAAAGACATCTGCTAGATATTTGGAAACCCACCTCACATTTGTTGACCTACAAAAAGCATACGATACAGTCCCAGTATCCAGACTGTGGAAGGTATTAGAACACACAAACATCAATCACACCTACATAACGGCACTTAAAAAACTATATGAAGACTCAAAATCATGAATTAAGATAGGTAAAAAACTCACAGACACATTTATAGTAAATAAAGGACTACGTCAAGGATGTTGTATCTCTCCTACGCTTTTTAAAATATACGTAGCAGTAGCACTGAAAAATTGGAAGAGGAAGATCCATGGAATGGGTATAGAGATAAGTGCCTGTTTACTCTTCAGTTTGCAGATGATCAGGTCATAGTGGCCAGTGACAAAGAGGACATGCAATATATGATTAGAAAGCTGATAGAAGAGTATCAAGAATGGGGCCTGAGAGTTAATATAAATAAAACCAAATATCTATGTGTAGGCAACCAGAACGGAAACTTGGAAGTGGACGATGGTCAGGAAATTCTGCAATGTCAAAAATATGAGTATCTTTTGCTATTGGTAAAGTCCGACAAATACCATTTTAAAGTCACGTGATATTGGTGGCAAAAAACGTATGTTCATTGATTATGTCGTTGATATCACCTACAAAGAGCTACTGGTGGTTAATTACTATTGAATTTTAGGATATGTTCCCACTAGCATTTTACAAACGCGTTTCTGAAGTAGTATTGACCAATCAGATGGGAATTTTAATACTTGCAACTGTTGCGAGACTCACTTTTGTCGCATCTGATGTCCGTTGTAATACATTCTGAACTTGAATGGGGTACCCGTTTTCTATTTGCTTCTTTTCGAGTTGGAAAAAGGTTAATATGGTCAAAATTATTAGCTGTGTTTGTTCGTTGTATGTTGTATCATTTTCGAAAATAACTTTGACAAACTAATTGATGACAGTGACGGATTCTATCTCAGGTAAGAATATTATGAACAAAAATAAGACACCAATTTTTTTGTCAATTTTACTATCACCGTTGTTTGAGATGTATTCAACAAAGATAGAGAAAAATCACGTGACTTTAAAATGGTATTTGTTGGACTATATCACATTCGACAACACCGGAACAGACGTGAAAGAAATAGAAAAGCGAATAGTTAAAGCTAAAAAAGTAATAGGATGCCTAAATGGAATATTATGGAGCAAGGAAATTACAAAGAAGAGAAAATTTAATATATACGAGACAATGATAAAGAGTAGCCTTCTATATGGAGCCGAGACTTGGAGAATTAGAGACAGACAAAAGAAAAAAAGTGTTGAAATGGATGCTATAGTCATATTCACGAGAGAGTTTGAATTTTGACCGTTATTTTCACCACTTGAAAATAAATAAAATCCCCAGATCTGTCCCTTTTTCTGACAACTATCAAATAATGATACATGACATTTTGATTTGACACATAAAAATAACAGATTCGGGTCTTTGAATTTTGAATTTCGAATTTTTGTGTGAAATCTTTCAGTTTTTTGCCGTTTTCTGCATTATTTTTTTATTTGTTATTATCGCAATCGATTTTTTGGTTTTTTATGTAGTGTTCTGTGCCTTTGTGTTTCGGTGTTGCGTTTCAAACCTGGTTTTAGTATGGATTTAAGTGTTTACTCTAATTATAAGTGTTTACTTTGGACTCTAATTTTAGGATTTTTGGATTTTAATAACTTAACTTCCTTTAAAGAAATTGAAAATAAATTTTTATTCTGAAATGTATATCACTTTTCTAAATACGACCCTGTCGTTTATCCCAGCTGACGGAATCGAAGCGCTAACGCATGCTGACAACCTAAAGAAAAAGTTTACTAAAAATGTCAACGCGAACTGTCAACTTCACTTTCTATCGTGATGTCTATATTAGAAGATCCATGCGAATCTCACGAAGAGACAGAATAAGGAACGACAATATAAAACAACAAAAATGGGTATAGAAGGTACGATAGTCCAGGACATTGAAAAGAAACAACTTACCTGGGGTGCGATTTTCGAAACCATTCGAGTACATTTCGTACACGAAATTTGATTGACAGCAATGTAAATTAAATGGGGAGCAGACAAATTTCGTGCACGAAATGTACTCGAATGGTTTCGAAAATCGCACCCCTGGTACGGACACGTAGGACGAATGCCAAATGACAGGTGGCCCAAAAAAATGCTGCACTGGCAACCAACAGGTAGAAGAAAACGAGGAAGACCCAGAAGACCATACAAAAATCCATGAGTGAAAGAAATCTCTCATCAGAGGATTCCGACGATAGAAGAGGATGGAAATTAGGTGTCGGACAACGAAGAAAGACGTTCTAAAACGACATGTATATGTATATATATATATAAAAACTAAGGAATTTAACGAAGCTCTTGTTCTCCGAGACGCTTTCATTAAGTGTTACACTCTCCAAGTTGCATTTAAACGAAAGAATATTTATTTTTGACACATTGAACACCAACCGGTTACAGTTACACACAACTCTTTTACGATACCCAGGTCTTGTTCTATAATGCGCGCTAGAACTGAAGCATCCTTGTGTTTCCACAAAATTGTTGTATCGTCCGCAAAAATGGTAAAAAATCCAGAAATCGCCAAAGAAGCCAGAAAATTCACGTAAAGCAGGAAGAGGAGCGGTCCAAGCACAGACCCTTGTGGGACGCCATGCGTTAAATTGGTGAGGTCTGAATCGTTCTTTTGATTCAATCTTACAAATTGGCTTCTCCCAGACCTAAACCACTCCAACTTCCTACCCTTGATTCCATAATGGCTCAACTTCCGCAGCAGTATTTGGTGATCAACACAATCGAACGCCTTAGAAAAGTCACAAAACACCGCTGCGGCCCTCTCACCATCATTAAACTCAAATATATTCTCTCCAGAAAAGAGAAAATGGCATCATTGGTACCTTTTTTCTCTTGAAAACCAAACTGAGACGAGTCGAGTATTTTATTTCTGTCCAAGTATTCAATCAGCCTAGTCTTAACAATTCTTTCCATAATTTTCGAAAGTGTATTTAGCAGTGAGATGGGAGGGGTCATCGGTATCACTGCCCTTAAAAATTGGTACAATTATTCCTATTCCTAATTTTAGACTGTCAGGAAAAACACCAGTGCCAAAGGAGTAGTTTATGCACTCTGTAAGTGCAGTAAGGGCATCATCTTCCAGAAGAATAGTCCTTTTTGATATTTCTTATCACTGTCACTACTTCGGCTTTATTGGTTGGCAACAATAAAAACCCATCCGAGGATGAATTTTCGTTCAGAAAATGCAGGGAATCCTTGTTTGATTTAAGTTCTCCTGTGAGTTTTTGGGCAATACTGCAGTAATAATTGTTAAGGTTTTCGGGGTTGATATTTATGTCATTAAATCGTTTTGGTATCTTTCCACGCAGTTCATTTATAATCGACCAATACTCCTTAACTGAGTTTTTTGCGTTGTCTACTCGCTATTTGTAGTGTTGTTTTTTTGCTGCCCGAATAGTTCGTTTGTCAATTTTTCGATATAACCTTTCTGAGTTTCGAACGACGAATTTCTTCATAGTATGTAACGATCGAAGATTTTTTCCTGATATTCTTAATCCCTTTGTTATTCATAACTTTTTACATTTAGTTTTTAAGGGGAAAACTTAACTTAAAAATATCTTCTACGGTTTTCTGAAAAGTTTTAATTGGTTCATCGGAAAGTGGTATATTTCCCCAAACAATATTTTCAGCTATGTTTCTAAATAATGCAAAATTATTAGAACTGAATACCCGACTCGTCTTAACTTTTGTTTCCCTCCGATTCTAAAATTATCTCTGCGGCAATTGCTTCACATCACCCTCTTTAATGTTGCAACAAACATAATCTAGGATTGTCCGAGAATTGCTCGTTTGTCTAGTTGGCTCATTCACAAAGATCTTTAGATTAAAACAGGTAAGTCCACCAGTGATTTTGTGTATCTTGAATCATTATCTTCAAAATCGATGTTCAAGTCGCCTGCTAATATAACTTTGGATGAAAGAGAAAATTGTGACAATAGAAGTTCTAGTGAATTTAAAAACTCTAGTGGGTTTGCCGAGGGTGGTCGATAAACGCAGATAACGTGAACTTCTAGTTTTTTAATGCGAATTACACAAAATTCGAATTCATTTGGTTTAATATGTGATAAATAATTTATTAATTTGGTCAAGTGATTGACGGGGAAGGGGGTCTGGTTTACACCTCTGATGCATCCCCACCATGATCCCCCTTGAGCAGCTCACCACCCCTGGCCCATGGGATGGGAGGTCTTGTCATCACAACAAACATCAGTTTATGAATGAGATACGGTGTCTATCTGTGTTAAGGTGTCATTGGCAAATACTAATTAAATAATATCATTTTAATTATAAGAATTTGCTAATAGATCAAGCAAGAATATTATGGAATTTAAATCAATCTCTACTTACTCATCTGATATTAATGATTTATAATACTCGGACATTTTGTTGAATGCAGATTTTGTATGTTCTTATATTGTATGTGATTTTTTCTTATGTATTATTATTACAAAATAAACAAATAATAAACAAGAATATTTTCTTTCCACTTTGGTTTTTTGAAAGTTTTGTTTTTGTTTTCATTTCACACAGGTTTTTTAAGGTTACGTTGAAAAAGGTCAACAAAAACTCTCTTCAGTGAACTCAACAGCAAACATAAACGAGAGAGATAGCTTTACGATAGGAGAGTATTACAAAGTCCCATATAAGAACTACGAACCTTTAATTTGTGATATACAACGGATGATATACAGTTGCAAAAATCCTATTTTTTTTTGTCCTGCACAGTAAATAATTTAGGGTATCAGAAGTATTAATCTTCAAAACTACAAGCAGTTAAAAAAAAAAAAAAACTTCTTTAATAATAGATTCATGGCAACAATTTAACAATGAATTATCAAAACTATGAGTAGAAGTAACAAGAACACATTTGAGATTCAAAGAAAAAGAATATGAAAAATGGCACATGCTAACTATTTTTTTTGATATTCGAGAAGCATTGAATTCAACACTGAAAAGTTAACTCGTTAAACAAGCCTTAAATTGTATATCATTTGAGCCAAATTATTACCAACAGTCTTAAGAGTGGCATCTTAAATTAGTGGGCGTTTGTTAAAATAATTTAAATTTGTAATAAACTAATTGCAGTAATCCTCTTTTGTGGCCGAAATATACTCGTCCACGAGATCTTGGAGCACTTCGCGACTAGAATCCAACTCATCCAAGTTATCTTTGAACATGTCCTCCTTCCTGAATTGGTCCAAGAAGGCTTCACGTTTACGAAGTTTGTCGTATTGATTCAAAGCCCGATCAAACAACTGAAAGAATTTTCAAGTCTTAATTAATTATTGTTCAAAAAATGATTTAAAAAAAAAACAGTCCACACCATACTGAAACACTTACAGAACTAATATTTGTATGATTGGCCAACATAAGCCCTGAAACTCTATGTGCAGTAGAAACATAAGGCGATTTCCTCGAAAGCGCCACTTGTATACTAGCAGGCCCCCAAGGAATAAACTGCGCCATTTTTCTTTCCCTGATCCTTTGCAACGATTTATGGACTTGAGTTGGATCCACTTCACCTTGTATAATATTCAATATAGATATGTAACAATGCTGCGAGCCACGATCTGGCGCAGTAGAAACCATCATATTTTTAGGCTGTAGCAGTCGTCTCATGACATCTAAAACTGTAGTTTTTCTGATGTTGACTTCATCTGTATCAGTTGACAGGGGCGTGTAGCCAGTCATGAGAAAATGAAGACGTGGCGTTGGGATTAGGGGTGCCAAGAGACCCATAAGATCATTATTCATGTATGACGGATACCTAGAAACAGTCAAATTATTGTCTCACGATTTATTGAAAAATAATCTTACCTCAAAGTGGTTGTAGAAACAGACATAATAGTACTAACCAAGCTGTTAATCTGTGTAAAAGTAGGATTTTGAATTTTTAATCTATCTGCAGCTATTGTGTTTAAAGCAGTATTATCCAATACAACTACTGAATCAGCCGATTCAGTTAATCTTTTGAGAGTCAATAGAGAGTTGTATGGTTGAACTACAACATCACTAATTTCATCAAGATTAGGAAAAACACTATAGGTCTGTACTAGTTTCTTTGGAAATCTATCGGATAATTTTTCCAAAATATTAGAACCCATTCCTGAGCCTGTACCTCCAGCTATGGAGTGGCACAAGACAAATCCCTCTAAACTATCGCTTCCGTCTGCTTCTCTGTCAATAATATCAAATATTTCTTCGTTCAATTTTTCTCCTTGTGAGTAGCCAGAAGCCCAATTGTTACCTAGAATTTATGTTCGATAATAAAAAATGTTTCTTAGGACCGGTTTATTCATCTTCTAATGAACTGTCAGGTATGCAAACTGACGGATAAAAATGCAATCTGTAAATCGGCTGACCAACAGAATTAGAGAACAGTAGATTTATCTTGCAGATAGTTACCAGCAGGTTTTTCTGAAGATACATAAACTGGGCCTTAATGAGAAGAGTCTTACCAGCTCCGCCTCCATTTTTACTTAGAAAAACGTTCTCTTGATTGTATAACTTTGAATAAGGTGAATTCAGAATGGTATTAATGACTCTAGGTTCCAAATCCAACAATACTGCTCTGGGAATGTAATGTTCATCGTCGGCTTGGTAAAAAAATACATCTTTTCTGTCAATACCTAGTAAAGAAAAATAAAAAATGTATCATCTATCTCACAATTGTGTAGGTAAGTACAAGTACGTGCGATTTTTTTGTTCAACATTCACATTTTTTATTTACGGACCAGCCCATATCATTAACAACAATAAAAGTTCCCAATAATAATAGTAATAAAAAAAATTAATAATTAAACAATAAAATCTAATACCATTCTCAAAATAACCAAATACCCTGTTCTATTTTGTATTTCAACCCTTTCAAAGATAAATCAGAGAGATCGTCCTCTCCTGCAAATTGCTCTTTATGAAGGAATTATCGAGAAAATTATGGTCGCGGAGGGAGATTTCAGCTGTCATATTTCGGAGACAGTTGAATGAAATTAGGTGAAAAATTTAAATATAAAAAATTCCTAGTTTCCTCAGTAGAATCCATTAAGATTTTAAATTGATTCACTTATGTTGCACTAATTTTTTCATGACTGTCTATCCCACTGATAAGTCACTCTGTTTGTCAAGAAATTTCTTCTCAGTAACTTGTTTCATCTTTCTTTCTCAAGTTTCTGGTTATGGTGGCAAGGAAGAAGTTAATGTCACATGCATAGTGACCATTCAGAATTTTGTAAGTTTCAATAAAGTCTCCACTCGTTGTTATTCTGTCTTTTAATGCATTTAGGTTTAGTTGGTTGAAACGGCTTTCGTAGGGTAACGGGTAACTCTTTTTATTAGGTATCCTTGTAATACAGCTGTACTCTCTCAATCACTTCAATGTCTTTGATGTAATATGGATTCCAGATGGAATGGCCGTATTCAAGCATCGGTCTTACATAAGCGTTGTAGAGCTTTAGAACCATTTCTTTAGGCGTTGTTCCCATTTTTAGTCTGATGTGAATGTTATTCCTGGGTTTTATGACACAAAACTTTCTAATTGACATTTGTTGGAGGAGGTAATTATGTTCAGGGTTATTCTGGCCGATATGTAGAACTGTACACTTGAGGTCGTTCAATGGCATTTTCCAAAACATTGTACACCCTTTGATGGTGTACAGGTCTTCCTGGAGGTCTGCAAACTGTATTGGTGGATTGAAGAATAGGCTTGCGTCATCTGCAAACGATTCATATTTGGTCTTCAGTTTTTGGTATAAGTGACGCAAATACGACAAGAAAAGCAACGGTTCCAAAAATCGAGCCTTATGGTACACCACTGTGTACAAAGTATTCAACTGAATTCCTCAAGAAGTCGCAGTAAATCGCCTTTCACTCCAAAATAATATAGCTTGTTTAATAAGTATATTGTTGGTATCTTATCAAATACTTTTTCAAAGGCATACATCGATTGGATTATTCTCATCATCTGCCTTTGTCCACATATTGAGTCTGGTTAGGAGGTTCGTAAAAGGAGATTTTTTGGGAGGAAAATTATGTTGTTGGGGTGATACAATATGAGCTTCGAGGAAAAAGTCTGTGAGTTCCTTAGCAATGATTTTTTCCATACATAGGGCGCTAGTCAGGCTGACTGGTCTGTAGTTTTGTACTAGCTCTTTGTTACCTTTTTCCGAGGGGTTATAATCACTCTTCGAAATCGTGTCACAATTTCGCCCGAAATCTTTCAGAAATCCTATCGAAATCCTTCCGAAATCCACGAAATCACTCCGAAATTCGCCGAAATCTCTCCGAAATCCCTCAGAAATCTTTCCGCAGACCCAAAAATCCCTCGCAACTGGCCCAAAATTCATAAATCGGTTAACGGGGCCGTTTTTCAGTTTATACTAATACACTTTCGAATATACTTATAAGATAAGTAACAGTCTAAAATCAAATTAAAATATTTGCGAAATCACCTGAAATTCTCCAAAATCAACCAAAATCCCACAAAATCGCTCTAAATCTGAAATCTTGTCACAGTGAATAATCCCTCGAAATCTTTCCGAAATCCTACCAAAATCCGAGCCAAAATCCTTCGAAATCACCCGAAATCCCTCAAAATCGCTCTAAATCCGAAATCTTGTCACATTTCTCCCTTAGTGAATAACCCCTTGCCCTTTTCGAATATAATTATAACAACTGCTTCTTTCCAAGGCTGTGGAAAATCTCCTGTGGATATATGTCATTCATAAGTGCTGCCAGAGGCTGCTTTAGAGTGTGCAAACAATTTTAAAGAAATATAGGAGGGATCTCATCAAGTCCAGGGCTGGAGTTAACTCAGGGACATAATGTCAATCTATAGTATTTCTGGGGTGAAATTTATGGTGTTAATTCCTGTTCTGGAGTAGGAGTCAATTGGAAGTGTTGGTCTAATATCTGTAGGGCTGAGTTTAGTAATAATACTTTGGAATTGCTGTGCAAACCACTCTGCAACCTTCTGGTCAGGTTCAAATGGGACCAGAGTTGTTGTTAACAATACTGAAGTGGGCGTGTGGTGTGCTAGGAGCGACATTTAGAGTTAACATAGGAAAATAACTGTTTGGTATTGTTGTTGTTCAACAGATTTTGTTCGTATTTTCTTGCTGTGACTGTATAACTTTTGACCTCATTATTTGCGTGCCAGTACTGTTGGTAATTTTCTTCAATATTGTTGTGCTTATATTTGTGCCACAAGTCTCATCTCTTTTGTATTTCTCTAAATACTGCCTCAGTTAACCATGGTTTTTGAGCACTTACTTTTTGTGGTGGGTATGGCATAATATGCTTGTTGATTGTGAATCCCAAAGCCTTAGAGAATTAATAAAATGAATGTGGGTTAGTACAGTTAGTATCCTGTGCAAGTTGTTGCTGAAGGGGTTGGTTTACTTCAGTGTAATCTGCCTTCCAAAAGTTACTTTTTTGGATTTTGTGAGTAGGCTGTGAAATTATTTGAAAATCAACACTATAAATTTCACCCCAGTGTTTTGGCAGTTATTACTTACAATGTGGTCACTTTTTCAAGGGGTACATGTTCTCGAACATCAAAAATTAATTTTTTCTCATTTACAATAAGCAGGTTAGAAGAGATGTTGGCTCATTCCGGAACTTTGTAGAATTTTTTTTATTTTGGTGACCTTTATGGTTTTTATAACTGTCCAGAAAGCCTGGTGGTTCCTAGCAGAAATGTAGCTAGTAATTTCAGCTCAAATTTCAGGTAAAAAAAACTTACAAACCAAGCAACTGAAGTTCTTGGGCAGTAAATTCAACTTCATGGACTGGTGAACAATGGTAGGCTTGTCACATTAATGGGGAAGGTATAAATTTGATCTGACCAGATGATTATTCTGACTGTTTATTATAACTGTAATCACAGTCTAATTTTTATTATACCTACTGTGCTATAAGTATTAGGACTGTTTTGCTTTGTCCACAAAACGATTTGTAATGTTTTTATGACAATGGAGCACACTATTTACTCATATTTGGAATATTAATATTAACATGTAGTAACATTACTCGAACATTTATGACAAGGACAACCTTCTGATCCATCTGGAACACCAAAGCGGAGTATTTTATGGAAATTTTTGCTCTCATTTTTGCTTATACCAGAGATACCCCTTATCTACTCCGCATACCTCATTCACCTTCGTTTGTGGGGTTTTCATAAACCTTTATAAATCTAGATCTACTTAGTATGATCCTAATTTTGTCGTGTGTGACGCTAGCTCCTTGGAGCCAGCTCCTTGCCTCAAATATGAATCCGCGAACGTAGTCGAAAGTGTGAAGCCAGCTCCTTGCGAACCGCAACTTTTATTGCTTTTTAAAAATAAAACTGAATATATTTTTCAAATAATTTAAAACAGAATATAACTAAATTTCGTTTTCAAACAAAAGCAAATGACACAATCAAAATAATATTGAATTAGGTTAGAATCACCATTTAAATCAAGAAAGGCAGGGTTGTGCGTAATGTAGAAATGTACTATTTCGGTCCAGGACCGGATTTTCGATTTGAATTTTTTATGGTAGATAGAGGGTTAATAGTACTACTCAACCCACCCCTCGACATTGAGGGACAAACGAAACTTTGGCGGTAAAAAAATATTTAATGTCCAAGGAGCTAGGTACTATCTCAGTCCAGGACCGGATTTTTGATTTGAAATTTTTATGGTAGATAGAGGGTTAATAGTACTACTCAACCCACCCCTCGACATTGAGGGACAAACGAAACTTTGGCGGTAAAAAATTATTTAATGTCCAAGGAGCTAGGTACTATCTCAGTCCAGGACCGGATTTTTGATTTGAAATTTTTATGGTAGATAGAGGGTTAATAGTAACACTCAACCCACCCCTCGACATTGAGGGACAAACGAAACTTTGGCGGTAAAAAATTATTTAATGTCCAAGGAGCTAGGTACTATCTCAGTCCAGGACCGGATTTTCGATTTGAAATTTTTATGGTAGATAGAGGGTTACTAGTACTACTCAACCCACCCCTCGACATTGAGGGACAAACGAAACTTTGGCGGTAAAAAATTATTTAATGTCCAAGGAGCTAGGTACTATCTCAGTCCAGGACCGGATTTTTGATTTGAAATTTTTATGGTAGATAGAGGGTTAATAGTAACACTCAACCCACCCCTCGACATTGAGGGACAAACGAAACTTTGGCGGTAAAAAATTATTTAATGTCCAAGGAGCTAGGTACTATCTCAGTCCAGGACCGGATTTTCGATTTGAAATTTTTATGGTAGATAGAGGGTTACTAGTACTACTCAACCCACCCCTCGACATTGAGGGACAAACGAAACTTTGGCGGTAAAAAATTATTTAATGTCCAAGGAGCTAGGTACTATCTCAGTCCAGGACCGGATTTTCGATTTGAAATTTTTATGGTAGATAGAGGGTTAATAGTACTACTCAACCCACCCCTCGACATTGAGGGACAAACGAAACTTTGGCGGTAAAAAATTATTTAATGTCCAAGGAGCTAGGTACTATCTCAGTCCAGGACCGGATTTTCGATTTGAAATTTTTATGGTAGATAGAGGGTTACTAGTACTACTCAACCCACCCCTCGACATTGAGGGACAAACGAAACTTTGGCGGTAAAAAATTATTTAATGTCCAAGGAGCTAGGTACTATCTCGGTCCAGGACCGGATTTTCGATTTGAAATTTTTATGGTAGATAGAGGGTTAATAATACTACTCAACCCACCCCTCGACATTGAGGGACAAACGAAACTTTGGCGGTAAAAAAATATTTAATGTCCAAGGAGCTAGGTACTATCTCAGTCCAGGACCGGATTTTCGATTTGAAATTTTTATGGTAGATAGAGGGTTACTAGTACTACTCAACCCACCCCTCGACATTGAGGGACAAACGAAACTTTGGCGGTAAAAAATTATTTAATGTCCAAGGAGCTAGGTACTATCTCGGTCCAGGACCGGATTTTCGATTTGAAATTTTTATGGTAGATAGAGGGTTAATAATACTACTCAACCCACCCCTCGACATTGAGGGACAAACGAAACTTTGGCGGTAAAAAATTATTTAATGTCCAAGGAGCTAGGTACTATCTCAGTCCAGGACCGGATTTTCGATTTGAAATTTTTATGGTAGATAGAGGGTTACTAGTACTACTCAACCCACCCCTCGACATTGAGGGACAAACGAAACTTTGGCGGTAAAAAATTATTTAATGTCCAAGGAGCTAGGTACTATCTCAGTCCAGGACCGGATTTTCGATTTGAAATTTTTATGGTAGATAGAGGGTTAATAGTACTACTCAACCCACCCCTCGACATTGAGGGACAAACGAAACTTTGGCGGTAAAAAATTATTTAATGTCCAAGGAGCTAGGTACTATCTCGGTCCAGGACCGGATTTTCGATTTGAAATTTTTATGGTAGATAGAGGGTTAATAGTACTACTCAACCCACCCCTCGACATTGAGGGACAAACGAAACTTTGGCGGTAAAAAATTATTTAATGTCCAAGGAGCTAGGTACTATCTCAGTCCAGGACCGGATTTTCGATTTGAAATTTTTATGGTAGATAGAGGGTTACTAGTACTACTCAACCCACCCCTCGACATTGAGGGACAAACGAAACTTTGGCGGTAAAAAATTATTTAATGTCCAAGGAGCTAGGTACTATCTCGGTCCAGGACCGGATTTTTGATTTGAAATTTTTATGGTAGATAGAGGGTTAATAGTACTACTCAATCCACCCCTCGACATTGAGGGACAAACGAAACTTTGGCGGTAAAAAATTATTTAATGTCCAAGGAGCTAGGTACTATCTCAGTCCAGGACCGGATTTTTGATTTGAAATTTTTATGGTAGATAGAGGGTTAATAGTACTACTCAACCCACCCCTCGACATTGAGGGACAAACGAAACTTTGGCGGTAAAAAATTATTTAATGTCCAAGGAGCTAGGTACTATCTCGGTCCAGGACCGGATTTTCGATTTGAAATTTTTATGGTAGATAGAGGGTTAATAGTACTACTCAACCCACCCCTCGACATTGAGGGACAAACGAAACTTTGGCGGTAAAAAATTATTTAATGTCCAAGGAGCTAGGTACTATCTCAGTCCAGGACCGGATTTTCGATTTGAAATTTTTATGGTAGATAGAGGGTTACTAGTACTACTCAACCCACCCCTCGACATTGAGGGACAAACGAAACTTTGGCGGTAAAAAATTATTTAATGTCCAAGGAGCTAGGTACTATCTCGGTCCAGGACCGGATTTTCGATTTGAAATTTTTATGGTAGATAGAGGGTTACTAGTACTACTCAACCCACCCCTCGACATTGAGGGACAAACGAAACTTTGGCGGTAAAAAATTATTTAATGTCCAAGGAGCTAGGTACTATCTCGGTCCAGGACCGGATTTTCGATTTGAAATTTTTATGGTAGATAGAGGGTTAATAATACTACTCAACCCACCCCTCGACATTGAGGGACAAACGAAACTTTGGCGGTAAAAAATTATTTAATGTCCAAGGAGCTAGGTACTATCTCCGTCCAGGACCGGATTTTCGATTTGAAATTTTTATGGTAGATAGAGGGTTACTAGTACTACTCAACCCACCCCTCGACATTGAGGGACAAACGAAACTTTGGCGGTAAAAAATTATTTAATGTCCAAGGAGCTAGGTACTATCTCAGTCCAGGACCGGATTTTCGATTTGAAATTTTTATGGTAGATAGAGGGTTAATAGTACTACTCAACCCACCCCTCGACATTGAGGGACAAACGAAACTTTGGCGGTAAAAAATTATTTAATGTCCAAGGAGCTAGGTACTATCTCGGTCCAGGACCGGATTTTCGATTTGAAATTTTTATGGTAGATAGAGGGTTAATAGTACTACTCAACCCACCCCTCGACATTGAGGGACAAACGAAACTTTGGCGGTAAAAAATTATTTAATGTCCAAGGAGCTAGGTACTATCTCAGTCCAGGACCGGATTTTCGATTTGAAATTTTTATGGTAGATAGAGGGTTACTAGTACTACTCAACCCACCCCTCGACATTGAGGGACAAACGAAACTACTTTGGCGGTAAAAAATTATTTAATGTCCAAGGAGCTAGGTACCATCTCGGTCCAGGACCGGATTTTCGATTTGAAATAGCCTATGTAAGCGTCAGAGATGAGGCTATGTTGGAAATAATACACATTGCTACATACAGGATAGCCCATCCGCATAAGGCCTGCGTAGTTCAAATCTCAAGTCCCCCGGCATTCCAAAGCACCAGTGATAACGCAGGAAACGTGTGGTTTCTCGTATTGATGTTGGGTGTTTGCATCACAAGTTATGATTCCGCGAATTTTTGCTTTATGCAAACTTGATTCTCCTTGCTTGCTTGCGCAAACAGCTGATGACTTAGTTAATGACGTCGGCAATGGTGCTACACCATATGACCGCGATTACCAAAAACAAGGCCGATAAGCAATCCGTAGTAGTGTGTAATATCCTTGGCCATAAGGGTAGTCACTTGAGCTCAAGTCCTATTTATGTCACACTGCGACCGTGACTCTAGATTGGAAAAAAAACAAAAATAAAGAGAAAGTAAAATTTTTCAAATTACACGCAAAATACACGCTTTTTGTTGATGTTCGAAAAATACACGCTAGCCAATCAAAATATACGCAAATCGTGTAATTACACGCTAATTGGCAACACTGATCTTTATGCGTTTTTACATTTTTAACGTTACGTTAGGAAAGAGTTGTGTGTCTCTTTTTAGTTTTTTTAAAATTAGCATTTAGTGCGTTGTAAAAAGTAAACTTTGTAAATAGTATTCTTATCCCATTTCTTAGTTTTTTAATTTATTCTGACAATGAATAAAATTGGCGTCTTAAAAAACTCGTTTAGTGGTTTTTTTCCTAGAAAAAAATTACAAATTAAAGAATTAGGCGGGCCAATCCCGGATTTAAAAATTGAGAAACAGAGTGGAAATGGGCAAAAATCGCGCTGTCGTAAATTTAACATAACTATTTATGACAAAAATAATATCGGAATAAATTTTTGACTCAGGCGTGTTTTTAATATGGCTTTTGGGTATAAAGAGCGAATGTTTTTTCGGATGGGATTGGAAAGGGTGAAGGGGAGGAAGGAGCCCTTTTGCGTCCGATTTTCATATTGCGCTCGAAATTATTTTGATCAGGGAGGCCATTTCTGCATTTAAATTATCTTCCTAAATTTGCGCTCGTTATACGTTCCTAACTAAATTAGGTACTTTCAAATTTATTTTTGGATGGGATTGGAAAGGGTGAAGGGGAGGAAGGAGCCCTTTTTGCGTCCGATTTTCATAATGCGCTCGAAATTATTTTGATTAAAAATTACATTCTTGCGTTCGTTTTTTTTTGCGTCCGAAATATTTTTTTTCAAGTTTGCGCTCGTTATACGTTTCTGGTAAACTATTTTTCCAAATTTGCGTTCGTTATACTTTTCTGGCTAAATTATTTTTCTAAATTGGCGCTCGTTATACGCTTTTGGCTAAACTATTTTTCCAAATTTGCGCTCGTTATAATACGTTTCTGGCTAAATTATTTTTCCAAATTTGCGTTCG